CGTCCAGACGATCTAGCTCACAAAATTTTCTTTTAATTTTATCTTTTGTTATTAAATCTGCTTTTCCGCCCAAATCAGATAAAACACATTCTTCCTTGGTATACAGTTTATCTTCCTCAAGTTTTATTTCTACATAATCTAATATTTTATTTAATACAATATCTATATCAGCCTCTGGTGACAAGGCTTTCTCATCCTCAAGCGATATTGTATTGCTTTTTTTGTAACTACTACCATTACGCATTAAGATACGATTTTGGTTACATTTGTATTCTAAATCAAATGATACACTCGCACCTTTTTCAGACTGTTGTGCACCACCCTTTTTATTCACGCCGAGTGTAGACAGTGAAAACTCTGCCCATTTTTCTGTTATTTCTCCATCAGTATTTCGCATAAAATTCTCACTTAGAAAATTAATCATAGATGGGCTTAGTTGTGTTCCATACAATGATTTGACATCTAAACCTGGTTTAGGTAACCTAACTATGGTAGAATCGCCATATTGAAACTTTTGGTATGAGGAATCTAGAAACTTTTTCTTTGAAAGTGGACCGGGTTTAAATTTGACGTGTAAGGAATTGTGGAGAATTTTATTTCTGTAAGAGATGCTAGGTGATTTCACGAAGGACTCATTCAAATTTTTGATGCTATCTTTGCCAATATCGAAACTGCAGATAAATTTGTTTTTACCGCCTCTACTGCCGTTTATTTGGATAGATTTGTGATTCCAAAGAACATATTGCGCTGAATGTGAATGGCCTTCTGGGTTTAAATTAGTTAACATTTGCCAAACATCTTTACATATAGGAGAGCTGCTACGAAGAATAGTTTTGGCAAATTTTTTCGTAGCTTCTTCTCTAGATGAACCAATCCTTATTTTACGTAATAAAATATTTTTGTGTCTCTCCATTTCTGAACTCATCATGGCGTAAACTGCCTTTTCCATTACTTCTCTGATATTTCGAACAGTTTTTACTTTTAATTTACTTTTTTTCTTTGGTACGTAGTATTTATCAGTTTTGGGGATAAAGTTACATGAGATTGGCGTATCAGAATCATCATTGGGTAACGGTTTTGCTGGTTTCACATTTAGGAGTTCATATAAATTATTATTTAATGTCTTGTTCTGTCTTATAATACCTGAACTAAACACTTTTGATACCTCCTCCATTATGCTGAAACAAAAAATAAAACTTTGTTATATGTTCATCTGTCTATAGCATCGGATTTATGAAAAAGTCTACTTTCTAATTACATTATGCCCACTATACACATACATTAAATATTTAGATTTCTTCAGAATAATAGGACGGCCTATCGTACTTGTGTTGTTTTGCATTTTAAATATACATTTTACTCAAGTTTTTAAAGTAAAAATAATATTTTGCTTTATCTTTATTCATTGGGTTTATTTTTACACTGTTAAGGCAGACAAAACAAATTTAAAAAAACGTTACCATATTTGATTATTTATTAAGAAACAACAAAAAAATTTAAATATAGTGAAATATAATATAAATTTTAGTGTGTCTGTGCGTATATAATATGTGTGTTAACTTCATTTTTATATTATGCATCATTCCATATTTTTGTTTTGTAAAAAACGATACATTTAAATGCTGAATAGGTCACGTGTTACGGTTGAACCTTTCGACCTTATATACAACTTCTATGGCTTACATGAAATGTTTGTTTAAAATGCGTCTATTTTATTTGTACACGTTCTGTTTGGTCCTCAATACGCCGACAGTTTTTTCTTTGAAGTTTTTAATTAAAAAATATATAGGTACGTAATGCAACCATTTGTGCTGTTGATCTTTGGAATGGCAAGCACTCATATATTTACGTAATTTTTTTATTGTCAAATAATTCGCGTGGTATTTTTTTATTCGTACCGTTACCAACCGAAGAAAGTCATGTACTTACACCTTTTTAGTAATTGCAAGTTGTAGGGATAATTAAATACGTACCAACTCTGGAGAATTTCTAGACTAATCTAAGTTGACTTTGTTTCGAATGGTTTAAATGAGTATAATTGATAATTATATATGTGTAATTGTAATTTAATATAATATGTGTAGGATTTCAAATACATATTAAAAGCGAATGTTTTTTCGTGGATAGAGTTGGCATTAGTCTAGACTCTAGACTAAGCAACTACCAACAGTTTGAAAAACGAAATAAACATTTATTTTTTTATTATCTGCAATCTTTTCATGTCAGTAAAATAAATTTTTATTCAGTCAATTATTTTCCATTACTAGTCTTCTTTCAGTTCCATGATTAGATTGACAAATGATCATGAAACAGATTCAGAAATCTAAGGCCCAGACCTAAAAACGTTATAGCGTCACTGATTTCTTTTTATTTATTACTACTTAAAAATTACAATTATTCTTTTTGGATCAAGTAAATGTAATAAACCATTACATTGATTTACCTTCATTCAAAAACGTAAATTACCACGTTGTCACAACATGTCTGCGTTGTCGGTGTTTAGCATATTTTACAATCACGCTCATGTCACAAAATGGCCGACAAAACAAAACTATTTTTTAACGCAGATTATCGTATTGTTGGTTAGAAAAAATACATTGTATTGATAATTTTTTAATTTAAATTAATTTTATTTTATAATTTCTTTTTACATGTCGGTAATCTAGTACAGATAAACAAACTACTAAAGTATGGAGAGTCCTTCTTTCGCTCTTCGGGAATACCAAATGTCAAAAGAAAATATACAATTTACGAATTTTAGTAGTAAATGGAAAAACAATTACAAATATTAAATGATCATTACGGATAATGAAATAAATAATAAAATGGAATATTTATGAATACTATTAAACAATTACTTTAATTTACTAACTTACAGCTATAGGTTTGGTGGTTTTTATTCGTTAGCTGCACAGACTAACAGTGTTAATGGTATACTGTCAAAATTCAAAACAATTTCAAAATGGTGGAAATCTTTTACCTTATCAGAACAACATTTAACATCTTCATTAAATATAAACCCAGCCCAGCTAAAGAAAATGTAAACGCAATATTTTTAATTTATTACTTCCAACTAAATATTGTAAAAACATAACTGCCTGTCAATTGTCACAATTGTATTTGTCGGCGCAGCGGATGTTATTAAAACGTTAATTAAATAATAATCTTAATATATTGCAAAAACAAAACTTACATTAATAGTTAAATTCGGCCCATTAAATCCTACTTTGATAGAAGAAATTCAAAAATATTCTAGAAAAATCACGTGACCCATTCTTTAATGGCCGACGTGCGACATGTTCAATGTCCAATGGTTAAGCTTGAAATCTCCTTGAATCTCTTGTAATGAAATACAAAATCATATTCACACTCAATATTCACTTGAATTCTTATACGGATATCTTTAAAGTCCTTGTATTTTTAGAAAAAATATTATTAAACACAAAACACTTTGTTATGAGTTTGTTTTGAACGTCATCACCCACAGAATCACAGATAATTCTGTGATCAATGACATATTTTGTTAACAGATAATTTATTTCTTTGGACGCGTATTGTTTTTATGAAATAAACTTGAAACTTTGAAACTCTTAAATAATAAAATCATTATATATTTTAAATAAACAATATAATAATGTACTTAAGTAGTCCAGAAAGTAATATGTTCTGTGGTACACATTACACCTTATAATTAAATAATTGAAATAAAAACAATATATTTCGTGATTACATTGTTATCTACTCTTTGATTCATATGGCATGGTTGGGTTTTCCGGTTTTAACTTTTAGTTTTAACATGGTTTTCAAAATATTGTGATTTTTTAATTTTTACTAGTTGGACTGTGGACACTGGTAGCTCTTCAGAGTTCAGATGCTTTTCAGATTCCAATAGTCACAATCTTTAAATAATTCATGTAATTTCTGAATGTGTGTGAATAAATCAATAAAATATTTACTTTAGTAACACTAATTACTACTACCCCAAATATAGGTACGTTATTTTAACCACATAACCTAACCATAACCAACTACCTTGAGTGGAGTGGAAGTATGGCTGATTTTTTTTACAGTGTAGTGTAGGTATTTGTACATTTAGTACAATTTAAGTAAGGAAAGATCGAATTCTGAAGTTCCTTATATAAAACAACAATTTCAAAGACCATTTTATTTCGCTGCAGCTATTCAAATTTGGCAATTTTAGGGGGTTTCGTTGTTGCCTATGCGTCTATCTGCATTCTGCAGTATCGTAAGTCTCATCCTTATAGAATGCACGGATTATTGTGCGAATTAAATTATTATGAATTTACAATGAAATTGTATCTTACCAACTTTTTTCGTTATAAATTGGCATGTGTCACTTAACTAGAAATTCATTGCATTAAAAAATTGAGAGTCAATAATGCTTTGACTTGGGAGGTAACAGGTTAAATAAACAATATTTGGTACTATGTTATATACTAAAATAGATGCAGAAATGTGTTGTAAGGAAAACTCTTAAACTGTTTTAAAAATTTAATTTATTTAATTACAGAGTCTTAAAGTACAATCATTTGTTTGTCAGTAATGTAGTATCTTAAAAAGATTATTATAACATAATTCTATTATTTCACTGGTGCCAGCTGCGTTCACCTATCTTCTGATTTTTGACTCATTAGAGCGTCTAGTGTGGATGAGTTAAGGAAGTTTGAATCAAATAAAAATTCTACTTAATCAACAAAAACAGATGTGTCTATATAATGAAGCTTTACTTATTTAAGCAAATCACCTATATGTTCTATAAAAGTCATGTGATATAGACACAGATATTTAGTAAATTGTGAAATTTCCAATAATTTAATAACAAAATTAATTAATCGTGTAGATATTATTATAAAAAATATATGCCTACACTTATATCTTATGGATATTTAGTAAATTGTAAAATTTCCAATCATTTAATTACAAAATTAATTAATCGTGTAGATATTATTATAAAAAATATATATAAAAATATAGGTAATTTAAAAAGGATATTGTTTGTCTCTTGGCTCTTCTAGTGAACGATCCCGGAATGGTGACTTTTCCTATAAAAATGTTTAGGATCATTAGAACAAATTTGTTATAGATGTGGAACAAATATTTTTGGCTGAAAGGAACATATTAATTTGGTTTTAGAGAAAAAATTCTATATTAAGTAGTGATTTAACTTATAAATTACCCTTTTATGGTACTTTTCATAATGGTGATCCTCTTGAGAACCATTTTGATGACTGGCCATCTTCAATATCGCTGAAACAAATTGAAAGTCAAAGTATAAAAAATTTACTTTTATTTACCTAACTTCGGGTTAGCACTGAAAAATTTTGAGTTGAAACTTCTGCAGTTGATAAATAGAGGGTCCGAGTCCATTCTTAAAAAAACATTTCTTAACTGCTAATTAGTGTATTTCCAAACATCAAATGTTTGTGAGATAAAATATAACTAAATTATTTCATATAAAGCTACTCAACTATATCACATATACATTATATATCAATTACTGACCTGAGACTCGGACTACCATTTTAAAATTATTTCCCACTTCTAAACTATAAGGGTTTAAAAAGATGGGTAAGGGCAATAACATACAAAAAAAATCCATGATCTTGCCCTCAAATTTCTGTATCCGTTTCGTGATCATTAGCTATTTCTATCACTAACAAACAATCGACTTTTCGGGTTAAACAAACTGTACATTGGTGCACAGCCGGGGATCGATCCTACGATCAGCAATGTGTCACATGCTCAAGTCACTAGACTAGACATAAAAATACACATTTTATAATGGAATTACCTTTTTGTTCGTCTCTTCGTCGCTTTTGTTCCAATATAGGTGACTCATCAATTCTTTCCTGCTAAAAAAAATATTATGAATGCTGGCTTACTTAGATTTCACCTGCAGGACTACGCTACCCCATGTGTGTAATTGAAAATTAAAAAGTATAAATTCATAAATTAAATTTATAAACAAATGTACTTTGAACATCTGATCATCCATATACAAATCTATTAGCTAAAGAATTCGAAAAAGAACTTGTTTTTCAGAATATATTTTATACATTAAGTATATTATTCTCATCTAATCTCAGAAACTGTTACAGATTTTTAAATAAATTGTTTGTAATATTAAAATAAAATTGTTGTAACATATGAATATCCTTGGAGGCGAACGGGCAGGAGGCTCATCTGATGTTAAGTGATACCGCCGCCCATGGACACTCACATTGTCAGAATGTTGTGAGCATTCTGCGTTACCGGCCAAAGTCGAATTGGTTCCGAAATACTTCAGTGGGTAGCTGGTTCCACATAGTGGTAGTGCACGGCAAAAACTGCCAGAAATGGTTAGTTGCGGAACGAAGGACGACGAGGTGATACTTTGTATTAAGCTTTGACGTCTGATGATGAAACTCAGCTGCCGCTATTAGTCCGAACAACTCCTTTGAAGACATGGTAAATGCAGTAGAAGATGCAGAAAGACCCCGCCCGAGGGATCAAGCCGCGAGGAAAGGACTGGTCGTCGACGATTCGAATCGCTCTTCGTTAAATTCGGTCAAGTGGAAGGAGCTGGGTACTCGAGTGCTCCCGTCCGAAGGTGAGACCAGTACTCCATGTGCGGCCGAATTTGCGCTTTATAGAGTTGCAAGCAGTGGCCCGAGGTGAAGTACCGTCTTGCCTTGCTGAGCACACCGAGCTACTAGCCTTTCCTTAAAAATTTCCACGAAACTGAACTACATTCGATATGTTAACGCCCAGTATTCCGATGCTATCTGCGGCTTTAATGAGTGTCTTCGAAGAGAGTAGCGACAGGGTGTTATTTTTAGCAAAAAACGTGCAAACTTGTCTTTTTGGGGTTAAATTGGACTAGATTTAGTCTACCCCAGTCCGAGACGCCACGTAGTAGTTACAACTTCAGACACAAGATTGATCATCAACAACTGTCTGAGAAATACCTGCCCGGCCAGTGTAACGAGGGAATATACTACAATAATATTATATATTACAATTATATAGAAAATAAACAGGGTCGGGGATAGGTCACAGTCTTGTGGGACTCCAGCGTTCACGGGTATAAAGTCGGAACATGCTCCGTCGATGATGACCTTGATGCTCCGATCAGCGAGAAAGCTAGATCTAATTGCATAATTTCTTGAGGAGGCCATATGCTGGAAACTTCAAGAGAAGTTCTCTGTGCCACACCCGATCGAAAGCTATGTCCAAACTTACCGCCACCGAAGAAGATCAATATATAGATAACAACTATCTGGTGACGTCTTATTTCCGGTGAATATAAGATACTTAGCTGTTTTGCTATTTTATACTTTCGTATTGATATATATTAACAGCAAGTCAACGTAATGATCACGTGACCAACTAATAAAGCGACGTCTTTCGTTGAATACCATGAGTATTAAAAAGAAAGTTCTAGTTATATATATATATATATATATATTAAAATATAACGAACACATTTTATACGAAATATGGCCTTCTAATAAATATAAAGATCACGTTTGGGGCAGGTAACAATACAAATTTCAAGACACATCGGATGAAACTTACCCGTTTTCTGCTCATCTTACGCTCTTTCCGATCATCACCTCTAAGTTTAGACTTTCTTTTCTCTTTTTCTGGCGAACGTTCTTCAAACTCTTTACTACCCTGCTTATAAAACAGCATATTAAAATTAACAATAACAACATTAAAATGAAAATATTTTAGCTATATGAGCCAAACGAAACACAGAATTAAAAATGATCTTCTCATGCTTCTGGTTTCTTCTTAATTATGATGTCTCGAAGTCCTTGTAAAACCTTCGTCAAGATGATAACGTGTCTATCAATAATTCTTCTATCATAGAAAGGAATCCACTTTGTGCTTCTTTATATTCTTCATTGGTGCTTGATGGTATTGTAATGTATGTTTGATTACTAATGTCTAAGGTTCCGAGTTGAACCGTTTATTAATCTATATCTTCTATCTAGCGTAGCAGTATATTTATATATTAAATTTCTTCAAAACTTTAATATGAGTTAGCTCTAATTATGTTTACGTTGCAGTTTTTTAAGATACTGCGATATCAAATATAATATCGAGAATGTAATTTGGTTCATTTTCGTAAAATTCGCTTCTATTATGGGTAATCTCAAGTCTTCTTTTGGGAATTACACATGGAGATTGCTGGGAACCATTTTCTTTTATTAGGTTTCTGGATCCAATCCTGATACCAAGGTGTGTGGGCTCTATTTCTTCTTTAATAAGTTTTGGTAGAACTGGCATCGTTAACAATGAAAATAATTGTAATTCTTCTAGAAAGCTTAATTTTGCCTTGATTTTCTCGATTATTTTAGAAAGCTGCACCTTGCCTTGAGTTTCTCGATTCTTCTAGAAAGCTTCATCTTGCCTTGAGTTTCTCAATTCTTCTAGAAAGCTTAATTTTGCCTTGAGTTTCTAGATTCTTCTGGAAAGCTTCATCTTGCCTTGAGTTTCTCGATTCTTCTAGAAAGCTTCGCTTCCATCTTCCGTCACATTTTAATTCTGTGAACGTTTGGACCCACTTGACAAAAAATGAAAAACCTTACCACTGCTCGACTGGGCTGGGCTGACTTACGCATTACCTTTGTCTTGGAAATAATATATTTTGATTTTTTTTCTTTTTAATGTTCCTAAATAAAGTCCCGTATCACTATAACACTGTTGAATTCTTCAGATGATTTCTTGATTTTCTGGTCTTCTAAAGTAACTATATTATAAGATTTTTCATTGTTTCTGTGGATTTTGAAGATTCTTCGTTTTTTATTTAACTAGAAGTTCGTAATTGTACACTTATTCACAGTTCGCTTAGATCAGCAGTCGCCTCGTGGTGGGCCGTGGGCGCCCAAACGTCAGTCCGGCGCCAGTGCGATGCAAGGTCGGTTTATTACAACGATACTCACCTTGCCATTGCCGCTGCTTTCAACTTTACGTCGTTTCACATCTAAAAAATATATTAATTGTAATATTTAATCATTAAACTTTGCAAATTTGTAATTTCTTTAATTTGGATTCTAATCCTAGGGAAACAATCAGGATCTTTAAACAAAAACAAATTCAGGAATTGTGTTCAAGTTACATACACACAGTGATAGTGTTTATACGTAACTCGAGTAATAATCTGATCTAATCTGTCTTGAGTATTGTCAAATATTTTAGACGGGACTAATTTTTTTTTTTGGGTCAGGTGGCAAACAGGCAGGAGGCTTATCTGATGTTAAGTCATACCGCCCATGGACACTCAGACTACTAAAGCACTCGCAAGTGCGTTACTGGCCTTTTAGCTCTGTTTTGCGACGACTCTAAGTCTAGTTTAATTCCAGTAGATAAGATCGAGTATTTTCTTATTCCTAACAAAACTTACCACGATCAACGTCATCAGACGGATGCCTGTGTTCATGAGGCGGAGATATTGCCTCCAAATAGCGGTCTTCCTATGAAAAAAAAAACATTTAATTCGTTTTTATTTCATTTATATATTCACACTTTGTTGAATAACATATTTGATATATATTCATGTAACATAAACTTAATATAACTTATTGCTAACAAACGATCTCTTCCAGACAAGCGTAGTAATATACGGAAACAAGAAATATTAGGGGAAAAGTGAAAAATCAAAATTAAAAAAAAACTAGAAGCTAATCTTAATAATCATGAATGACGATACTAGGTTAACAATTACAAAAAAAATATATAATTACAATTCACAATTAAATTGAAAGAAAAAGAGTGTAAGTGTTTACATAGAAGAATATTTAATTCAATTAAAGATGTCTCTATCAACTGTCACTGCAAAATCATGTCAACTGTCAATGCCAATATTTTTAGTTTGACATCTAAAAAGATTTGAATGAATCACAGATTCCTTTTATTCAGTATAGAAAAGTGATAGTAAAAAGTATTAATTAAACGCGTTTCGATCAGCATTTTAATTATTTAAGTAGTGAATGAATATTTAGAATACATAGAAAAACTTACTCTATGGGATCTTTCTCTCGGCGATTTGTCTTTACTTCGTGATTCTTCTTTATTTCTCTCTTTGTTGGACCTGTTTGAAGATACGAATTATTAGAATCCAATAAATGGGGGATGGGAGAAGCAAAAGATAGTCAAATAAGGGAGTCAAATAAAGAGATGGGAATACGATCTGCCGGAAGGAAGGAGATCAGCTCGTAAAAGTGAAAAACAAGGGGAGGCGTATTTCAGAAGACCTGACCAACTGCTGCTGATAACTAGTGTAAAAAAAAACAATAGTTATACGTAGTCGGTCCCAAAGTTTTGTCATAAATGGAAATAATGATAAAAGCAAAAGTGCTGATCTGCCCTGCGGTTCTGTAACTCACTTTTCGAACTCACACAGCGGTTTTCGCATCGGCGGTCGCTCTGAAATCAGTCGTGAAGCAGTCATTTTATGATTTGGCATTCTGATAAACAATAAACTACAAGCTCCCACCTTTTCAGAACGCCTAATCATAAAATGACTGCTTCACGACTGATTTGAGAGCGACCGCCGATGCGAAAACCGCTGTGTGAGTTCGAAAAGTGAATTACAGAACCGCAGGGCAGTTTTTAATGAGTGCAATTATTATAGTACATTAATTAAGGAATAGAAATAGCATAAAATTATTCGAAATTACCTCCCTTATTTTTTAATACAGGAAAGTGATTGTTTTTTGTCTTAAATATTAATTTAAGACAAAAAACAATCTATTAAGTCATGAATATTAAGTCAAATTCAAAAATAGAATGCAATAATTTTTTTATAAAATCATGTTCGAAATTTAAAAATAATGTGTCAGTGACAGAACTTTGGGACCAACTACGTATGTTATATAATATGTTATCGTTTAACGCCCAAACCCAATAACCTATCTCAATCCATAATCCACCATCTGATATAGTAATCTTAATCCAAATGTTGTAACAAGTGCGCCAATAACCAGTGGATAGACCTGTATGAAAATGACAGTTGCCGAAAGCTCGATTTCAACAGTTAATTATTATAACAGATTTTAACTTACACCAGTTATTTAAATAATTAAAAAACTATTTGTTATGTTTTAAACTTACACATGTATATTTTATTGGTAAAATGGAACGACAAAGAGCATTTTATCCGTTGCCAAAAATGGATTGTCTTCGTATGGTTTGGTTATTGGGATGGAGATAGGAGATCGATCGACTGTCACGGTCTGATCTCAGATTGAAAACAATCTGAGATTGTGGATTAATTATTGGATTGGGGCATAAGTTAAAATTATGTAAACTGTAGTTGTTTAGTGAATTTTATTATTATTATTATTATTAATAACCTGACAAATAAATAACACATTGATGATTTAGTATGTGTGGTGGAGCATTGCGTGATATGATAAGTAATAAGTACGAGAGCAGCGTGGGTTAAAAGAGGACAAGGATACGAAAGGTAATGATTATGGCCATGGAGAAAGGATCATTAAGACACAGTTAACAATTAGGATGTACAATGCAACCGTGGATGGGGAAGTCGCGTTGGATAGGCCATGTTCGACATGGACCAAATCCAGGCTACTAGGGACAAAGGTCAAAGCAACGAGCATGCATGGTGAATGTCATGAAAGTGGATGAAGCGAGAAAGGACTGCAGTGGACATCCGTGGTCTCTGCCTACCCCTTCAGGAAAAAAGCGTGATAATATAAATAAACTAGCTGACCCAGCAAACGTTGTTTTGCCATTGCAATTATTACTAGGAATCATTTATTTAGTTCAATAAAAATAACTATCTACTATAAAAATAGGGATTGGTCGGAGAGTGGTCAAAATTAGAGGTTGTATGTATTTTTGTATGATGAATCACAAAAAAATAAAAACAAAAAAAACTTTTTTTCACTAAGATATTAGCCGATTCTCAGACTTACTGAATATGAATAAAAAACTTCATAAGAATCGGGCGAGCCGTTTCGGAAGAGTATGGCGACGAACATTGTGACACGAGAATTTGATATATAGATATCAAAAGTCTTAAACGGCTCCTGACATTTTAATACTTACGATCTCGATTCACGTTTTGACTCCTTCTCGCGATCCGGCTCTTCTCGTCTTCTGTCACTGCTTTTTGATTCCTTTTTGTCACTTTCTATAAAAAAATAAAACCTTAAAACACGTGTTCATCTAAAGCTAGCACAATAAATACAGTCCCCATATTTCAAAAGTGATAATACAGGCTTTAGTTATTTGTAACTTGCAATAGCGAAGTCCCGATTTCAATGATTTAAAAAAAAAAATTGTTTGTATTTAGATGTAATTTAGACCTTACCTTATTAATAACTATGTACCTAAAATTGATTTTATTTATCCTCTTTTAATTTTGACATTTGAATTTGAAACTCTGACTTTTAATACCGTAGAATTCTGACAGCTATCATTTTATGACATGTCAGAGATGGCAAACCTTTTTGGCCGGGAACATTTTTCAATTTCAATACGAGTCTGAACATTTGAGTCTATACATACATTTTATTGTTAGTTAATGTATCCATTTAATTAAGTGCGTTGCTCCACATGAAAAGTGGTTTAACGGCGAGTGATAATTACGTCCCTTTTCATCACAAACAGTAAAAAACGCACAAGAAAAGATAACATTTTAATTTTTTAAAGGTTTACTGAACCTGGAATTAGTAGGCAGTGATGCCAGCTAAAGTATAAAATAAAGTAATTAAAGTTAATTCGATAAATTGTTGAAATATTTGTTATTTTTGTATTAGGTCACTTAAGTAAGAAAATACGTAACATTTTTTTTATTGCCCTCAAATAAGTCAAATTTGTCCCTTTTCGGTGGAGAACTTTTTTAGTAGTAACACTCATGAAATGTTAGAATTCTACGGAATAAAAAATCAGAGCATATATAAATAAATACATTATTGCATAGAATAAAACAAACCTGGAGTTTGAACTGGTGAGGCGGCCGTGTCACTCTTATGAGTATCCTCTTTGACGCTGACGGGCTGGGTCGGTTTCTGTTCTACCACCTGCGAAACATGTCATGAGTTACGTCTTACTAAGATAACAATTGACCATTAGATACCACGAAGTAATTATAAGCAGACCAAAGATCACGATTCGCATGTCACTACCGTGTAAAACCCGGCAACGCACTTGCAAGCCTTCTGGCATTGTAAGTGTCCACGGGCGACGGTATTACTGTATCAGATGAGCCTCCTGCCTGTTATACACAAAAAAAAACTATCAAAACGTTATGTCTTATAAATGTGTTTATTCGTACGAGATATTTGTATATATATATACTATAAATCTAAAAAACCGTGAAAACTTCTTGTTTATATCTCTATGGTCCCATATTCGTCAGACACACTGTCAAATGTCAAACTTCATACAGAAAAAATGTTTTGACAGCAACCTAGAATTAATTTAGAATAAATACGATCCTATGACATTTTTTTTTACAAACAGGAACCCCTACATCATAGCCCATCAATCACGGAATCAGGTAGATATGTGACCGAGACGCTAAGCAGTAGGGGATTATCAAAATATCCCCTTCCCCATAAAAGAGACTATTAACTTAAAAGGTTGCCTATGACTATTTAAATTATTGTATCTTGCGAAATATATATTTTTAATAGCAGACTCGGCCAAGCGTTGCTGTGGCTAAGGTTTTTGTTATATTACATTGTAGTATATTCAAGGGAAACGGTAGGAGAACACCAGTCATGGGGACCACCATGCTTTTTTGGTGGTTATGTCATTAAATTGTAGCTATACGTTGGTACTTTCGACACAGCGCCATCTGTTAGAATTGCGGGTATAAATTGAGATATAAGCTATCCTATCTTTTAAGTTGGATCAAACTGCACACGGTGTGAAAATTTGATTGAAATCGGTTCGTCGGTAGTTTAAGAGTCCATAGCGGACAAACAACATGACACGTAATTAATATATATTAAGACTAAAACTTACTTGATGAAAATCGCTTTCATTCATGAGATTTGGTGCTTTGTACCTCAACTGGCCACTGTAACCTGTGGCCAACACGTACAAGTCCGGCCTTTGAATTTTCTCCTCTTCTTTCACCTAAAAATTATTAAATTATGAACTTTTTTACACAATTTAGCCTTACATTTCTGTGTCTGGTTCGTGATCATTTGCTTTTCTGATAGAAGTAGGTGATCAGCCTTTTGTGCCTCTTCTTCTTTTTTTTTGTTTAAAGAACTTTATTTCTCATGACACAACACGATTTTAATTTTCATGAGAAACTTAATAATATTATAATATACGAACGAGATACACGTCGCCATCAGCTATTACAATTTTAGTTTAGGCTTATTCTGATTTAATGCCCATTTGAATTGATTAAACACGCTAATATTACGAATTTTAGTGGATAATTGTTTAAATAGTTGCACACCCTCATATTTAATAGACTTCTTTATATAATTTGTGCGCGGCTTCGGCAAGATAAGCACTCGCTCAACGAGTATTGCGAGTATTTGATTTTTTTAAATGATAAGCTACTATGGAGAGTTATTTAAAATTTTGCTATAAAATATAGTTGTTTAATCGTCATAATTTTGGTTTCTTGGTAGATTTTATAAGTAGGTGTTAAATGATTGTATCTAAATAGAGCTTTTATTAATTTATTTTGTAGTGTTTGTATCTTAGAAATTTAGTTTTTGCACTTCACACACCATTTCCGATGTTTTCCTTCAACGCAAATAGAACGTCCATTCTACGACCTCAGGGTTGAAAAGAGTTCTTACCTTATCAATTTTCCTTTCAATAATCTGAGCCAGCTTTGCGAGAACTGGAAAGTGGGGCAATATCTTGATGAGGACAATCAACGCGTTCCTAATTTGGACGTAATCACCCGAATCCAGGCAAACCACCATCGCCTTCGTTATTTTGTAGTGCCATTTGTGGCATACGTGTCTGAAATTAAAATATTTTTTAAAAGACTCACAAAAAGTTGGCAATACTTAAAATACTGAAAAAGAACCAACATTAACGGCTGGACACATTTTAGAAGTCAAGTCAAATCATTTATTTTAATTAGACCACCTAAAATGGCACTTTTAAACGTCAATTAAAATATAAAGATGATTCCAGTTGCCCCTCCCAAAAGGTAGTTTCGTGTGGAGAAGAATGGGCAAGAAACTCCACACTTAGAGTAAGTAAAAATACGTTTTAAAATACGTTTAGAATATTTTGTATACATTAGTTAAATAATTATATGGGAAGACAATGTACCTACTCCTAGAATAAAATTACTATACTAAAATAGGCACAAAGTATTTTTACAAATTAACTAGGTCAATTATTGTATTGTTAGTATACATGTTCCTCATATTTACAAATATAAAACCGTAGAATATTATACATTAAAGAGTAGTAATTAGAAACAATGGGGGGAGATAAAAATTTATTAATTTATTGTAGTATTACTTATGTACGCGCGTAAGAAGTTATACTTCTTTGGCATTTTTAAAAATAGTTTTTGATTGCATGCAAATAATTAAATACAATTAAATAATCAAAGACTGGAAAAGGAGTCATTATAGTCAATATAGTTCAGTTTACATTTGAAAAATTAAATAAATATTTATTATTATTCTCTTACATTAAGTGTAACATAAATTCTATTATTATTTTTAAATTATGTCCAATAGCATCTTATGCCGTAGCATCTTCCGTGGGCAACTTCATTCTGTTAATTTTGTGTCACGATGCGCGCGCAATTTCACTCTCATTAATTTTTCATAACGCGCCTAAAGAAGTATAACTTCAAAAATATGTAAAATCAAAAAATCAGAAACCAATTTGATTTTGTCCAGGTTTTAGTGATTTTTTTTTGATTCGAGAATGGTTTTGATTTACAAATAATTTTTTTAAAGACGTAACAGGACAAAATGTTTTTAAAACAACAATATAATTTAAGAATAAAATTCTTACCGATAATTCTCGTATCCGACGTGGTCATTGGCCTCTCTGAACTGGTTGGAAACACGATACTTGGTCACAAAGCCAGGGTAATGCGCACATTCCGCGTGGAAGGAGGCTCGATCCGCGTGCCAACGCATAGCTGTGCCCAAAACCCGGCAAAGGAACTGACCGTACCGACCGGCTTCCGCCTCAGTACAGGACATCACTGAGTACGTAATGTCGCAGAATAACTGAAATATTTTTAATTATTTACCTCTGCAAAACTCCACCCAAATGTAGTTAATTTTAGGCAAACTTCAACTGACAAATATTTTTATTGCTCGATATAAATGTCGCATCGGCATCGCAACGGCTAAATAAGCTAGTTGGCTGCGACATAAACATTATTAATTATATAAGTTTCGCGCTTCAAAGAATGGCAACATACTGATGTTTTTGTATACAAATACCGACAACACTAAATCATATAGACAATGCTAACCTACATATAAGACACCCAAAAAACGCTTTTTCTTCACCCAACGCATTCATCAGAGGCCCTTTCCTTTTCAACCAATTTAAAAAAAACGTGGTTGTATACTAGCAAATTTGCATGTCATACATATACTTTAGTGTTAATATATCAAAGTTAATTAAGCGCCCGCAGAGCAGATTTTATTTTATTAGCTATACTTAAAATAAGAAAACCTAAACATATTTCGGGATACTAGTTAAGTCAAATGGCAACAAATTTAAGATTGTCATTGTCATCTATCAAAGTGTGGTATGTAAAGCATATAGTGTTGCTATATCAAAATTAATTAGCGTCCCTAAAGCAGATTTTATTAGCTATACTTTAAAACCTTATTACCATATTGCGGAATACCAATTTCTTCAAATGGCAACAAATTTAAGATTGTCATGGTCATCTGTCAAAGTGTATTAGTGTGTGTCTCAAAGCAGATTTTATTAGCTATACTTTAAATAAGGAAAGCTTATTCCCACATTTCGAAATACTAATTTCTTCAAATGGCAACAAATTTATGATTGTCATGGTCATCTGTCAAAGTGTATTAGTGTGTGTCTCAAAGCAGATTTTATTAGCTATACTTTAAATAAGGAAAGCTTATTCCCACATTTCGAAATACTAATTTCTTCAAATGGCAACAAATTTATGATTGTCATGGTCATCTGTCAAAGTGTATTAGTGTGTGTCTCAAAGCAGATTTTATTAGCTATACTTTAAATAAGGAAAGCTTATTCCACATAAATACTTTTACTTTAAATAAGGAAAGCTTATTCCCACATTTCGAAATACTAATTTCTTCAAATGGCAACAAATTTATGATTGTCATGGTCATCTGTCAAAGTGTATTAGTGTGTGTCTCAAAGCAGATTTTATTAGCTATACTTTAAATAAGGAAAGCTTATTCCCACATTTCGAAATACTAATTTCTTCAAATGGCAACAAATTTATGATTGTCATGGTCATCTGTCAAAGTGTATTAGTGTGTGTCTCAAAGCAGATTTTATTAGCTATACTTTAAATAAGGAAAGCTTATTCCCACATTTCGAAATACTAATTTCTTCAAATGGCAACAAATTTATGATTGTCATGGTCATCTGTCAAAGTGTATTAGTGTGTGTCTCAAAGCAGATTTTATTAGCTATACTTTAAATAAGGAAAGCTTATTCCCACATTTCGAAATACTAATTTCTTCAAATGGCAACAAATTTATGATTGTCATGGTCATCTGTCAAAGTGTATTAGTGTGTGTCTCAAAGCAGATTTTATTAGCTATACTTTAAATAAGGAAAGCTTATTCCCACATTTCGAAATACTAATTTCTTCAAATGGCAACAAATTTATGATTGTCATGGTCATCTGTCAAAGTGTATTAGTGTGTGTCTCAAAGCAGATTTTATTAGCTATACTTTAAATAAGGAAAGCTTATTCCCACATTTCGAAATACTAATTTCTTCAAATGGCAACAAATTTATGATTGTCATGGTCATCTGTCAAAGTGTATTAGTGTGTGTCTCAAAGCAGATTTTATTAGCTATACTTTAAATAAGGAAAGCTTATTCCCACATTTCGAAATACTAATTTCTTCAAATGGCAACAAATTTATGATTGTCATGGTCATCTGTCAAAGTGTATTAGTGTGTGTCTCAAAGCAGATTTTATTAGCTATACTTTAAATAAGGAAAGCTTATTCCCACATTTCGAAATACTAATTTCTTCAAATGGCAACAAATTTATGATTGTCATGGTCATCTGTCAAAGTGTATTAGTGTGTGTCTCAAAGCAGATTTTATTAGCTATACTTTAAATAAGGAAAGCTTATTCCCACATTTCGAAATACTAATTTCTTCAAATGGCAACAAATTTATGATTGTCATGGTCATCTGTCAAAGTGTATTAGTGTGTGTCTCAAAGCAGATTTTATTAGCTATACTTTAAATAAGGAAAGCTTATTCCCACATTTCGAAATACTAATTTCTTCAAATGGCAACAAATTTATGATTGTCATGGTCATCTGTCAAAGTGTATTAGTGTGTGTCTCAAAGCAGATTTTATTAGCTATACTTTAAATAAGGAAAGCTTATTCCCACATTTCGAAATACTAATTTCTTCAAATGGCAACAAATTTATGATTGTCATGGTCATCTGTCAAAGTGTATTAGTGTGTGTCTCAAAGCAGATTTTATTAGCTATACTTTAAATAAGGAAAGCTTATTCCCACATTTCGAAATACTAATTTCTTCAAATGGCAACAAATTTATGATTGTCATGGTCATCTGTCAAAGTGTATTAGTGTGTGTCTCAAAGCAGATTTTATTAGCTATACTTTAAATAAGGAAAGCTTATTCCCACATTTCGAAATACTAATTTCTTCAAATGGCAACAAATTTATGATTGTCATGGTCATCTGTCAAAGTGTATTAGTGTGTGTCTCAAAGCAGATTTTATTAGCTATACTTTAAATAAGGAAAGCTTATTCCCACATTTCGAAATACTAATTTCTTCAAATGGCAACAAATTTATGATTGTCATGGTCATCTGTCAAAGTGTATTAGTGTGTGTCTCAAAGCAGATTTTATTAGCTATACTTTAAATAAGGAAAGCTTATTCCCACATTTCGAAATACTAATTTCTTCAAATGGCAACAAATTTATGATTGTCATGGTCATCTGTCAAAGTGTATTAGTGTGTGTCTCAAAGCAGATTTTATTAGCTATACTTTAAATAAGGAAAGCTTATTCCCACATTTCGAAATACTAATTTCTTCAAATGGCAACAAATTTATGATTGTCATGGTCATCTGTCAAAGTGTATTAGTGTGTGTCTCAAAGCAGATTTTATTAGCTATACTTTAAATAAGGAAAGCTTATTCCCACATTTCGAAATACTAATTTCTTCAAATGGCAACAAATTTATGATTGTCATGGTCATCTGTCAAAGTGTATTAGTGTGTGTCTCAAAGCAGATTTTATTAGCTATACTTTAAATAAGGAAAGCTTATTCCCACATTTCGAAATACTAATTTCTTCAAATGGCAACAAATTTATGATTGTCATGGTCATCTGTCAAAGTGTATTAGTGTGTGTCTCAAAGCAGATTTTATTAGCTATACTTTAAATAAGGAAAGCTTATTCCCACATTTCGAAATACTAATTTCTTCAAATGGCAACAAATTTATGATTGTCATGGTCATCTGTCAAAGTGTATTAGTGTGTGTCTCAAAGCAGATTTTATTAGCTATACTTTAAATAAGGAAAGCTTATTCCCACATTTCGAAATACTAATTTCTTCAAATGGCAACAAATTTAAGATTGTCATGGTCATTTGTCAAAGTGTATTAGTGTGTGTCTCAAAGCAGATTTTATTAGCTATACTTTAAATAAGGAAAGCTTATTCCCACATTTCGAAATACTAATTTCTTCAAATGGCAACAAATTTATGATTGTCATGGTCTTCTGGCAAAGTGTATTAGTGTGTGTCACAAAGCAGATATTATTAGCTATACTTTAAATAAGGAATTTTACATAATAATATTCGCACTTACCCGATCATAACACAGCAACGTAGAAAAGTTTGGCGTCTTCAGAGAATGCACTGTATGCACAAATTGGGCGCAGTACAATGCATCCGCCGCCGTAAACACGCAACGCGGAAACAGGCACAATTGCATCAACCGCGTGACAGTTTCGTTTTTGGCAGATTTGACGGCTCTCGCTGGGAACCAGCCGCTGCACTCGCGGGACAAACGCGCGTGTACGCGGGACACGTGGTCTTCTTGGCGACGACGTTCATCCTAATTTAAATAATACTTTTTGAAGTCATGTTTTGATTGCTTTTTGACAGTTGTTAGGAAGTGACTGCTTAGGTTCACAGATGTATGGAGAGAGTGCCTAATGGCTAGAATTTTCTACCCTCAACCCTGAGGTCAAGCATTCAAACTGCGGCTGTTCACAGCATTTTATAAACATCAGCCAAAACTTTAGTCACACTATTTTATTTTAATAAAAGCCTATTAAGCATCCGGTAATTCCACTTTGTCCGTAGAATTTCCTACTATGTTAAGCTAGAAGGTGTATTGTTTCTGTAGTCCTCTTAATTATAAAATCAACAATAGCACAGTTGTAACTGAAGTCACTCTCTTTTCATCACATTCTTAAGAAAATTTGCCAGAAAGAGACGAAAGTTTAGTCAATATTCGTTTTTTGAGGGGTTCATATCTGTATCACTTTATGTATACATAGTGTATTTGCCCATGTTATATAAAAAATAAATACCTGTAACTTTTCTATAAGGCTGTTAAATCGTTCCTGTTCCTTCTTCCCCTTGGTCCCTTGGGAATCCTTAGTGGCAGCCGAGGCAGCCAGCTTCAATCTATCAATTTCCCTTTCGTAGCTCTCCACCGGCACGCGTAAGTCGTACATAGATAAGGACCTAAAATAAAAATTACCGATAAAATAGTAAATGATATAATATAGTGTTGCTTTAAATATAGTCATAGACTAATTAATAAGAGATACACTCTCTATAACGAATTTCAAGGGACCGATCTTTTTTTACGTTATAAAAAGTTTACGTTACAGGGAGGGAAGAGAAAAAGATACCAAATTTAACCAATTACCTACAATAATTTCTAATTTTATTACTATCAATAGGTCCACAATTCTAAACACATAACGCTTTTCTTTTACTGGCCATATTGACAGTTTCAAAGTTTGTTTATGACTTATAATACACGATAGGTGACGGTGGTGCGTTTAGTAACTGAGACCAAAATTTCCTACAAGCAATGTAATCTAAGAATAATGGCACACGTGTTAATGCAATTGAATAACAAAGGCGAGAAGGCTGTTATGACCTCAGGTGTCTGCACCTCAAAAGTTAAGTTTTGTAAGCTGATTATAAAAACAATTACACTTAAGTATGTCGTTGATGTCTAAATATGAAAATATTTCTTCGTTATAGAGACTGTTGCGTTATAAATAGTCAATAAATGTATGGGGTTTGTGTTAAACCACCGTAATTATTGTTACGTTATAGAGAGCGTTTCGTTATATGCAATGACGTCATAAAGAGTTTATACTATATTCGAAAAGAAGACGTAGAAAAACTCACCAAAACGTAACGTAGAACTCGGGCGAAATATCTTCCCATACTTTATTCGGTAGGAGTGGTGTTATTGATGTTACAATTGGTTCTAGTGCTTCCTGGGAGGCAATGCTGTACCGCGTGATGCTCTTCTCAAGAGAATCCGATTTACTATCAGACGCTTTGCGAAAGGACTCCACCTTCGCAGCGATTATTTGAGCTATAACTGGACGATGGAGGAAGAACGCCACGTCTGCGTCTACGTGGTAGTCCCGAAGTAGTTCCTGTGAAAAGGTAGGTTTAAAGAAGTTTATACTACCAACATACATATCACTTGCACTTGAGAACAAGAAATTATAATATTAAAAACCACCACCGTAAAATTGTAAACACCGTCAGATTGTAATCTATCTCGCGAGATTGTGAACTGTCGAAAGATTGTGAACCTCAATGTACTGCTTACAATGTAACGTATTATTATTCAGTAGATTGTAATCTATCGAATATGCTCGTGTCTACGTGTGTATTTTCGTAAAAGTAAAATGAATGTTGTGTATTTATACGTTTACTTAATGTTCATTTATAAGTGAGTGAGTTTGAGTCAAAATATAGTTTGTTAGTAGGTTTTTAATTTATTTATTTTGTAGAACCTGAAGTTGGTTAAATTGTATTAGTTGAAGCGCTACCCCAAACTTCTACCAAATATAATAAATAAGATTTTACTAAGGAATTGTAATTTGTCATTGGTACTGTGTTGGAACGCATTTGCTAGATGCGTTCCTTTATGACATTTTCCTTTGAATAATTGTAATGTAGAGGGAGGGTAAAACTTGCTGAGTTTCTTGACCGTTCTTCTCAGAACAAGGCCTCCTGGTAGTTTTGCGAACGGATGGCGTAGTCTTGCTCTTTCGCGAATTTTGTAAACGTTATTGACATTCATAAGCATGCGCTAAGACGCATCTAAATTGAATAAACGTATTTTGATTTGATTTGAAGTGCACCAGTAAGAGAAGATACAAATGTATTCTACATCTAATGAGCTTTTAGAATCTCAAAGCTAGAAATTAACACGTAGTTAGAAATAGTTAGAGGAAAAAGGTTGAAACTTGGTAAATCTTTATCTACACTAATATTATAAAGAGGAAAAATTTGATTTGATTGCATTAAATAGGCTCTAAAACTACAGGACTGATTTAAAGAACCTTTTACCGTTTGAAGCCTACGTTATCCCTGATAAACATAGACTATAGAACATTTTTAATAAAGTTACGGTTCTATATGGAAATAAGATAGTGTATTGGTGTGAAAAATAATACAAATATTCCTATATCGCGTACGCTGCGAAGACTATTGACAATAGTGCAAAGTGATGTACTACAGTTTTATAGAAGACTTCAATATCTACAAAAAAGTTGACCATAGATGTAGGTTGTATTACGTTGATAAATTTTTAAGTTTTGAATAAATCTCTTACCGGTAAAGCCGGCAATCTCGCAGCGTACTCGTCGGGCGCGTGCGAAGACGCAAGGAACGTGCCAAGCTGAACGAGCGCGTCCTGGCATTGGTCCGCCAAACGCCCCACTACTTTTAACTGGGACCCACTCGATTCTCCGACTATTTCTTCGCCTTCTGTAAATTTCAAGGGTTTGTTTGCTTCAGTATCTTTGTTATATAAGGTAACAAGATTTATATGACCAAATATAAGAAAAATATTGTTCAATATTCAAACAAGTAATGATTTATTGTAAATGTCAAATTACATTAGACAATTGTCATGTATGATTCAAATGTAATTCACATGTGAATATAACAAATTTTGTCCAGGTAAACAATATATTTATTATCAATATAACTATGTACAACTAATTTTAGACTCAGATTAGATTTTCTATATATTTTTTTATTGTTAGTTAAACATTACCCCTGAAACATGAAAAGGGTTCCAAAAAATCAAAGCATATTTAACCCGTATCTATACAAAAGATTTTTATGTGTTCTTGTTAGATTGTCATTAGTTAAACTAAAGTTTACATTGATATCTTTTAAATATTACTAGTTCAACGCTAAGGGTAAGATTCGAGTTGAGACTCAGTTTGAATCTCACACGTATTGGATTTTGACTTAGGGGAGTAACATACACATATTTTATATGTTAAGACAATAGGACATTTAAAAGAATCCATAAATATTTACAAATTTAGTAAATACAGTGTAAACTCTATGTAACGACACTCAAGGGACTGTGCTTATTTTGACGTTACAAAGAGTTGTCGTTAATTGGAAAGAAGAAAAATCTGTATTAGAAAAAGTTTATTTCAGACTAGTTAGTAAATTAAATTAAAAAACGGTCGTGTACTTATGTACGCGCTAAGAGATACTTCTTTGCATTATTAAAAATAGTTTTGATTGCTGCAAATAATTAATTAAAATTAAATAATCAAAGACTGAAAAAAGTCATTATAGTCAATAAAGTTCAGTTTACATTTGAAAAATTAAATAAATAAATATTTATTAATTTTATCTTACATTAAGTGTAACATAAATTCTATTATTATTCGAATGTTGTTTTTAAATTATGTCCAATGCCGTAGCATCTTCCGTGGGCAACTTCATTCTGTTAATTTTGTGTCACGGTGCGCGCGCATCGTAAAATTTCACTCTCATCAATTTTTCATAACGCGCCTAAAGAAGTATACTTTCAAAAACAATTCTTATTTGAACGTTATGCTAACGCTTTTGCAATACCAGCAAATATGTTGTATTTTTTTACTTATTTTATTCATTTTGCGATATTGAGGCATCTTCGTGATAAAGCACGCTCAAGCAATCCCAATTTGTAAACAAAAACGGATTTCTCAAAATGTTCAGTACGTATGATGCCGACAGTGGAGTTCATTACGGGCTAGGACAATAGAGCGACAAAAGAACGTACACAACTCTGCATTTTTAACAAATTTCGCCAACGTATAAAGTACTTTTTATTATTAAATTGTCGTTATTGAAGGTGCTTGTAATGCTATGTAGAGTGTATCATTGTATGGAAGAGAAGCTAAACCAACCAAATACGAGTGACTTCGACGCTTTTTGGAGTTTGTCGTTATATCGAGGGGCGTTACATGGAGTTTACACTGTATATATTTTGAAAACATTAATAAATTTAAAATGATTACCTTTCCAAACACAACAATGTCTTTGTTGGGCGGACAAAATGCAAAGTGCTATATCTAAATTGTTGCCCACGACTGCGTCTTTTAGCCTCGCTGACGATCGCCTTGTGTTTCGCACTTGTGAGAAGTATCCAGCCTGTAAATTTACAATAATAAGATTTCCTTTAATAAAACACTATTTTGACCGGATTGAAGTTATGTATTATTATAAATTTACAACTACAGCGTGCGTGGTACGTCGGATAAATTTAAAATTATGTTAAATAGTTGTAAATTTATAATAATACATAACTTCAATCCGGTCAAAATAGTGTTTTATTAAATGAATAAAAGTTATGTTAATCAAAGACAATAAGATTTCCTTTGTACCACATAATATTTATTATCTTAAAATCCTAATATCTATATTTCAAATTTATTTTAATTCAAAGTTTATCGACACTTTACATCGACATATTTGTATCGACACTCGCACCAAACCACAAAAACTGGTCTTGCTTGTTTCGCGCGTATGTGTTCGTATACGCAGGTAACTTTTACATATTACTAGCTGACCCGACAAACGTTGTTTTACCATGTATATTATTTCTAAGAAACATTGTTTTAGTTCAATAAAAATAACTATCTGCTATAATAAAAAATAGGGGTTAGAGGGGTGAAAATTAAGGGTTGTATGTATTTTTAAAACACATAAAAAATAAAAACAAAAAAAAATTAAAAAAATTTTTTGGGCTGAACACACTTTTACACATTTTATTTATTTTTTATTTTATAATTTAACCAGAAATCATACCTCCCCCTTAAGTAATTCACCGCCCGCCATTGCATCTAACTGTTCGGGTGTCATCTCCTCAGCTGCTTCAATTCCAGCCATTTTTTGAACTATCTCCTTAAGTATTAGCAAATCTTGGCTGGAATAAAAAAAAATTGTTAGTATCGTTATTTTTTTTTAACTTCTCATCAAGCTTTTCAAACAAAAAAAACGTGAATTTGATTTATTTACATAAAAAATAAATCAATTGCGCTACAACCCCTTTAGGTCTTGGCCTCAGATTTCTGAATGTGTTTCATGATAATTTTGAAATCTAATAGACAAGAAGGTGATCAGCCTCCAGTGCCTGACACACGCCGTCGACTTTTTGGGTCTATGTATTTGTTCACGTTGGTAAGCGCGGGCGCGGCGGCGGGTGCGGGCGTGGTTAAGTGGCGAGTTCGTGTTCACATTGGCCGCCAGGCGTTTGCGCGAGTGTGACGTGTTGTCAGAGATTACATATTGGATTCAGCACAAATAAACTCTTCTGTATTGAAAGACATTCTGAAGACGTACTACCGTTTCTAGCGACGAGTTCAAAATGGTTAAACTTACCTAAAGTCGCGAGTGAACCGCGCGCTCCGCCGCTAGTTCGACGTGAACACACACAAACATTTCACGCGTTTGATATTGCCCGCTACTTAAACCGCACTAGCGTTTCGTATATATACTTGGATATTACGCCATATGTTTGATATTTCGTGACCGCGCCCGCCACCGCGCCCGCGAGTCAACGTGAACAAGAACTTAGACATGTCGGTTTCCTCACGATGTTTTCCTTTACCGTGCTAGCGAATGTTAAATACGCACATAGAAAGAAAGTCCAAAAATGGAAAGAAACAATGTACTTTTTTGCAGTTTGGCGACCAGATAGGTCCTTAATAAGGGTTACTTAAAATTTATTTATTAATTTATTTTTATAGAAATACTTTTTTAAGTGGTTAAGGATGAAGAGGAGTCTGAAAGATGTGGTTTTCACCATGATGAGACACTCACTGACTAAACGTCAAATCGAATAAATAATATTAAAAATTAATAATATTACCTCTGTTGTGCCTTTAACCGATTAGCGACGAACTGCAATAATCCCGTCAATTCAATATTATGCTTCTTAAAGGCCGCGCCTGCAAACGCGGCTAGCGCCTGTAGCCATGGCGGATGTGCCGCACCACTTGCGCCAATACCTCTCCCCGCACACAGTGCTTCCACAAGACAATAACCCAGGACATCGAGTGATAGTGAAGTCAAGTACTTGAGGGATTCCACCACTGGGCCTATTAGGTTATCATATGTTTGTATCTGCAAGAGATGAAGTTAATGAATTGCTGTTCGTTTGTCATGCTAAAACTCTAGAATGGCTGGACCGTTTATTCGGTAAGAAAAATGTATATTCAATTTAAAAAACAAAACAATGTATGGGGTGGATGCAATTTAAATTAATTCATTGATTTAATGTTAAAACATTATAAAAATAATATATAGTTTAGCAAAGTTAAGCATATAGGCGAAACTAGCAAGAGCAGTTGACACAATCGTCGATAAAGTTTAAATAAAAATAAATTTAAAATGATAATTTTAAGAAAATAAAGCATAAATAATTTTCCTTTGAGTGGTTGCCTAGAAGAGATCGCCCGAAAACGATAAGGCCGCCAGTTGCCCTCCTTATCATTTAATTATGTTAATTGTATTATATTTCTGTATGCATCGAAGTGTTAATAATTTAATTTTCCAATACAATTAGTTTTTATCTTATAAGTTTGTGTTGTTTGTGTTTCGACTCATTGGTCTAGTGGTTAGTACCCCTGACTGCGAATCCATGGGTCTCGGGTTCGATCCCCAGCTGAGACGAACATCGATGTGATGAGCATTTGGTGTTGTGCTTAGGTCTTGGGTGTTTAAATATGTATTTATATGTCTATCTATCTATAATATGTATGTATATCCGTTGCCTAGTACCCATAACACAAGCTTCACCAGCTTAGCATGGGATTAGGTCAATTGGTGTGAATTGTCTTAAAAAAAAAAAAAAAAACTTATAATCTAATCTTTTAAGTTTGTAATTAAACACCTAAACGGCTGGACCTTCTGTATTTTTAATACAATAAAATATTTTTCAAGTTTAAAATTGTTGTATTTATGACACGTATACAGGAAACGTGCAACGTACAATATATTGCAGCCGAGGTTGCGTTCGTGCGCGTAGTCACCTCTAAGTAATAATTTTTTGAAGGATTACTAATTATACTGTTTTAATCAAGTAAAATAGTAGTAACGGTTAAATGTTTGGTTATGCGCGGAATGTATAATGTAACGTAATGTATAATAAAGATAACCTTATAAAAATAAATCATAAACATCTGTCTCTTTTCATCATAGCGTAAACATAATTTGCCAGAAAGGAGCCGTTCAAGTATTACATAAACAAATCTACTGCAATTTATCCCTCCCCCCTTCCTCTTGTCAGCAAAAGTAAGCAAAACCCTCAAAAATAATAGTACATGACGTGCGTATTAATTTTTTGTAGGAATCCTCGAAAATGCATTTCGTTTAAAAGCATAGACAATATATAAAATGTAAATAATTGCTGTTGACTTAATTACCAAATAAGAAAATCAAAGACCTCCCCCTTATAGAGCTTACGTAATACTTAAACAGCCCCAAAGAAACAAACATTTCCTTTAAAATTATAAGACAACTAGTAGACTCGGCCAAGCGTTGTTCTGGCTAAGATTTTTGTTATATTACATAGTAGTAAACTATTCAAGGGAAACGGTAGGAGAACTTATGTGAAAGGTAGATGACAGCTTATGTGAAACGTTGATAATTTTAACACAGCGCCATCTGTTAGAATTGTTTCAAATAATAAACAAATATTTTGCAATAAATTAAAATTGCGACTATAATTTGAGATTTAAACTATCCTATCTCTCAAGTTGGATCGAACTGCACATGGTGTGCAAATTTGATTGATATCGGTGCGGTAGTTTAGGAGTCCATTGAGGACAAACATTGTGACACGAGATTTATATATATTAACATTAAATGAATTTCGTTATCACGAATAATATACGAATAAGAGCAAAGATTAGATTTTTTTTTCCTGTTCAAAATCAAGCTTTCAATTTGCGTTTGTGGTAGCAATATTTGGTTATTGCTACCACTTACTACTACACATTCTTAACTCTCGGGCGAGGAATAAATAGAGAAACTAAACCTCCTTGGGCTTTTCATAATCGGAAGTTTTTCGCTATTTTTGTTTTAAAATTTATTAATTATTTAAAATTATTTCCTACATTTCAACATTACCTGTAAAAGCATGTAATCGAAGAGGAAAGCGGGCGCCGCGTGCGACAATTTTCCAATAAGTCGTCCTTGAGGCTTTATATTTTCTTTTGAGACTCTTTTCATTATGTGCTTTATGCGTTGTAATGAATTCCCCCTCACGCGCATAAGGGATGGAATTTTTTCACCAGATTCATTCTTCCATCTGGCATATAGGCAGTATCTACAATAAAAACTTTTAGTAATTTTTTTTCGTTTGTTAAGATGAGAAAACTTATTAAGAAAATTGGTTAAATTTTAATTCCACAGATTTTTCACATTCTTTCTAAAAGGGAAGTTTTCCTTTCATTTTTGCTTCTAGAGTTACTTACTTTATTGTTTAAATTTTAAAAAATACCAAAACTGATAAACATATTTTTTTCTGTAGCTTTTTATTAATAATAAACAGAATGAAAATCAAAATTTATGATAACAAAACCAAATGACAGATATCGTTACGCGCGTTTTTCAATTTTTAAACTTTATTTTTAAATGTGATCTCCGCTTTTTTTGACAGCCAGTAATTTTCTCATAGTGATCGATCTCTTTGGTTGAAATATTTACTAATACTCCACATTCCAAATTCAAATTTCTTTAAATCTTAATGACTTAAATGCAGTGGATTTCATTTACTACGACCTTGGTTGTAGCGACCATTAAGCTATAACGTTAAATCTAAAGCATTTCGAAACAAATTCCTAGAAATCGCATGCAGATATTGCGACCGGTGTCAGCTGCCATTGATACAAAGATTTATTTCTTTCACAAACATTTCTTATATTTCGTTTACATTTACACAGATGGTCATCAACTGTGAAGACCTCTACCTTTTGTTTATAGATATCAGCTAAGTAGGTAAGCGTTTACGTTTCGGAGTTTTTTATGGGTGACTTTCAAAGTGACCTTTCAAACTTCTTTAGGCGCATGAGGGTAATTTTTTTACGGATGAAACGTCACGAAGATGTGCAGCGGTTTTGTCGAAGAATAGGGAGAGAGCGATTGAGACCGATTGAGAGAGAGTGAGAAGGGCGAATTACCTTATAGAAATTCTATTTTTGAAATTAAAATTTCGTAAAGAGAATTTATGAAATATTAGTATTTTATATTTTATGCAAAATAATTTATTGAAATCTCAAATGACGAATTGTAAATTAAAATGCCACGTGTTTTTATTATCGAATAAATAAATAAATAAAATTTATAATTTGTATCAATTTTCGACACTTAATATTTTAATAACTCTTAATTTCAATAAATTCCTAACATATCTTCCTTTTCCCTCCCTCTAAGTCTATACAAATCTAAAGTTTTAGATTTTTATAAATATGAACAAGACTTAACAATTCGTTTGCCAAGAAGTTTCACTTTTAACATGTGAACTTTGTACGCACGCACTTTTTTAAGCTATTGCATAGCTTCTATCGCGGGCCTCGATCGTGGGGACCGAATCCAGAAATTCCGTTAAGAAAAAACCTTACGCGTTAGAGCGGGACAGAACGCATACTGCGTATTCACATCTCTCTGACCAGATCAGTGCAGCCGGTGCGCGTTAGAGTGAGACAGACTATATAGGCGAGTTAGTCTGAGTCTGGTAGAGTGGTAGATTGAATAAATTTATCAAAGAAAAAACTTGAATTAATATCAAAGAAAAAAATACTGCATAAATAAATATAATTGCATAAGTTGAAAAAAAATTATGCAATAGCTTTACCGCGGCAGTCCCCGAGTGCCACACGTTTTTTTTAAATGTACCAGTGAATTACAATATGTGAATTAATTATTGAAAATAAATTAATATAATTTATACACATGTCTTTATCTCTTTGCCTGTGATGACTTCCGGATATAACGACGAAATCAGATTGGTCCGTTCATTGTCGTTATACGAAAACCACTGCAGTTTCAATTTAAAAGACCAACATGTTCTTACTTAGTATCTATGTATTTAACATGTATAAAAAACAATTTTTCTCACCTGCATTGGTATGAATACAACTTGAGCAACGTATAAACCTCCTCAGACATACAACAGTTGCCTTCCATGAGTGTAAGAGCTGGCAATATTGCCGCATCTAATACGGTCAACGCTTCGTGTTCGAGGGGATCACCTACTGCCGAACGCGACGTTCGCAGTATACGTATTACCTATAAAAATAATTTTAAGTTAAATCAGCAAATGACGAACTATTTAATATTTATCTAGTATTTTTGTTTGTAACAAATAAACTATACTACTGGACCAATTTCAAAATACAGTGTGAACTCTTTTTAACGAACTTCAAGGGAACGAGCATTTTTCTTGTTAGAGAGAGTTTTCGTTATATAAAGGGAGGAGAAAAAAAACAAATTTAACCAATTACAATAATTGTATTACTATCAATAGGTAAATTATTTCTTTATAGTTAAATTTAGTGTAACATTTTTGTGTTACGCGTCACATTTTTCGGTTACGCGCCATGTTGCTTTTTGAAGTCAAACAAATTCCTTATCAAAGTCTTTATCGGCGTTGGAATGAAACTTCTTTATCGACGTATGGGAGAAATTTTGTAGCAAATCGTCACGTTTTTCAATGATAGTAATAATTCTATTACAATTAATGAAATTCTATAATAATCTACTACTACTACTACGAAAGTAATAAGGTAAAATGAAATATTTGTATTCATGTCTATGATAATAAAAGCCTTTTGTTAAACTTTATCAAATTTAACGAATTTCTGTAAAGTTGCATATAGTAGATCATTTTTCTAAAAATAAGATCATAAAGAAGTTTCACTTCTTACGTGTGTACACCTAGTACACGCACAATTTTTTTTTTGTTTACTGGCCATCTTGACAGTTTCAAAGTTTGTTTACGACTTATAATGCACGATAGGTGACGATGGTGCGTTTAGTAACTGAGACCAAAATTTCCTACAGGCAATGTAATCTAAGAATAATTGCACACGTGTTAATGCAATTGAATAACAAAGGCTGTTTAGGACCTCAGGTGTCTTTCTTAGAAATTTCAGCACCTCAAAAGGTTAGTTTTGTGAGCTGATTATAAAAACAATTACACTTAAGTATGTTGTTGATGTCTAAATATGAAAATATTTCTTCGTAATAGAGATTGGCTGTTGCATTATAAAGACAGAATTAATGTATGGTTAAGAAAAAATAAGTTAAATTTGTTTAGTTTTGTGTTAAACTAAACAAATTTAACTTATTTTTACGTTATAGAGAGTTTTTCGTTACTACAAATGAACGAATGAACATTATAAAGAGTTTACACTATAGCATTATCCCTAAATAACATAAACTATACAGTGTACACTCTATATAACGACACTCAAGGGATTCTTCCTATTTTGACGTTACAAAGAGTTGCCGTTAAAAGGAAAGCAAAATCTGTATTAGAAAAAGAATGTTTATTTCAGACTAGTGTTGGTAATTACATAAAAACATTTCGTATATGAACGCTATTGCGGTGTGTGTTTTGTACTTATTTAATTCATATCTTGCGATATTGAGGCATTTTCGTGATAAAGCTCATGAAAGTATGCCCAATTTGTAAAAAAAAAATAACGGATTTCTTGGAAAGTTCGGTACGTATCACGAGTACCGACAGTCGAGTTTATTTTTCTCTAAGACAATAAAGCGACAAAACAAAGTACACAGCTCCGCAGTTTTAAATAATTTCGGCAAATTAAAAAGTACTCTTTAGTGTTACTTGTTGTCGTTATTGAGGTGGGTGTAAGGCTATGTAGAGTGTATAATTGTATGGAAACGAGCTAAACCAACCAAAGCCCAGTGATTTCGACGCTTTAAGGAGGTTGTCGTTATTTTACACTATATTTTTTCCAAATTATTGAAAAAACCAGCTGGGAAAACCGTTAAAAATCTTTTAAATATAAAGTTACCATTAAGACATTAGTAGATCGTCCTTATAACAATAACACTACTATTTAACTTAATATGTAATTAATTTACATACCTTATACATCAAAATGGGATCATGGTGAAGAGCTGGTCCGAGTAAGATTAGCGCTGGTATCACCGTCTCCTTCATATCCTCAAATGTTTTACATGCTTTTGGGGCTAATTTAGATTTCAATGGCGGAATGGGAACACCCATTATCTTCGGAGCCACCCGGCATTTTCTGTAAACATAGTGCGAAATGTATATTTTGCCCCAAAGGTAATATCGTCATGTAACAAGTAAATTAAAATAATATGTTATATATAAATTACGTGTCACGTTGTTTGTCCGCTATGGACTCTTAAACTACCGAAACGGTAGGAGAACACCAGTCATGGGGACCACCATGCTTTTTTGGTGGTTATGCCATTAAATTGTAGCTGTCATTAAAGTTGGTACTTTCGACACAGCGCCATGTGTTTGAATTGTGACAATCAAATAATAAACAAATATTTTGCAATAAAATAATATTGCGGGTATAAATTGCGATGTAAGCTATCTTTTAAGTTGGATCAAACTGCACACGGTGTGCAAATTTGATTGAAATCGGTTAAGTAGTTTAGGAGTCCATAGTGGATAAACAACGTGACGCGTAATTTATATATATAAATCTTTTATTTGCCGTGGAAGAAATCGCTTACTGGCCACCCATTGTACTATAATTTGTGGTTTTAAGTATAACTTACATTCTATACAATGGTTCAACAACAGCATGTAGCATATCGCACAATGCTTTGGCAGGTCGAGGTGGCATGGCTGATACTTGTATCCGACTGAACAGTGCTGAGAACTCACGCCAAGCACATACTTTCAGCAATGCTTCACTAAGAACTAGCTTTTGATTGGACCAATATTCCTAAAACAAAAATCTATTTGTGTCATAAAATACTAGAGGGCTGTCGCAGATTTGCTTTTTAAAAAATAATTTTAGATTTATTAAATTGCTGCAAGAGGTTCCGAGATTATTTGTTACAACTTACAAGCATATTAATCTTTCGTCTTTTTTAATATTAGTGTATATTTACCCCCTTATTAAAAAAAACTAAATCAGTCTAATTGCATTTTTAATAAAGAACTCTTTTATAATCATATCAATTTGTATTTACAGTGAAGTATTGACAGATTAATCTTATATATAAAATTCTCATGTCACAATGTTAGTTACCATATTCCTCTGAAATGGCTTGACCGAATTTAACAAATTTTATATGCATATTCAGTAGGTCTGAGAATCGGCTACTATCTATCTTTCAACCCCCTAAGTGATAAGGGGTGACCACCCAAAGAATTTTTTTTATTCTTTAGTTTTTTTTTGTTTTTACATTTTTATGATACAGCATACAAAAATACATAGAAACCTTAATTTTCTCTACGGTCAAGTGTATTTGTATTATTGTAAATAGTTATTTTTATTAAACTAAAAAAAATGTTTCCCAGAAATAATATACATGGCAAAACAAACGTTTGCCGGGTCAGCTAGTATTTTATAATAATTTTTGAAGTGAAACTTCTTTATCGAGGTTGGAAAAAAATTTAGTGTAACATTTTTTCGTTACGCGTCACATTTTTCGGTTACGCGCCATGTTGCTTTTTGAAGTCAAACTTCTTTATCGGCGTTGGAATGAAACTTCTTTAACGACGTATGGGAGAAATTTTGTAGCAAATCGTCACGTTTTTCAATGATAGTAATAATTCTATTACAATTAATGAAATTCTATAATAATCTTCGTAGTAATCGGGTAAAATGAAATATTTGTATTCATGTCTATGATAATAAAAGCCTTTTGTTAAACTTTATCTAATTTAACGAATTTCTGTAAAGTTGCATATAGTAGATCATTTTTCGAAAAATAAGATCATAAAGAAGTTTCACTTCTTACGTGTGTTCACCTAGTACACGCACAATTAATTTTATGAATGAAGGTGTAAAATAATCATAAACAAATAAAAATATTTACTTGTGGATCTGCTTTTTCCTCTATAAATTCTGTTGCTCCGTTTGCTTGAGGTCCTTTTGTAGAAACTATATTAAGCTTACGTAGAAAATCTTGGACAGATTTCAATTCCTTATCAGCCTCTTTAGCCATTATTATATCATCAGGACGTAGCTACAATGAATGGTTGTTTATAAATGCTTAGTTTTTCGACAATAATTTGTCTTAATTTATGTGAATAGATTAAATATGAAAAAACTTCTTTATATGAGATTTTTTATATTATGTACATTCAATGATACATCCTCTTTAATATATACAATTATATTAAAAGTCAATGTATTACCTGACGATCTGTGAATACAAATAATGTATTACATATCTGAATTGTAGTCTAAACATCTTTTATTAATTAATAACACTTACCCAAGGATATATGTCATCTAAAGAAATAACTTGATGTTGTAATAATAAAGCTATGACCGTCATTAAGTGTGGAGGTTCTTTATAGTTATCCAATACATCCATATTTCCAAGTTTGAATCCAAGAACCTCTGATATAACTCGTGGATCACACATATAGTGTTTAATAAGTGAAATAAACAATTTATCTAAATGTGGACGTGCTTCAAATGACTCCAGTATTATGTCTAAAACTCTGTTTGGGTCAAGATTAAAACAACCTGAAAAAACATAACAAGTGTAGTATCAAGTGTTGTTTTCATATCAATCAGCCATCAATCATCAAATAGATCACAAAAATCATTTAAGAATTAAATAGTAATATTATTATTATTAAGTACTTAATCAACATTTTTATCTAAACTAAATGTATTGTTCCTTATCAAATAAGTTACATATATAAGTAAGAATCTAAGGATATATAAATAATAATTACCAATAAGTGATTGAATTATTTCTAAAATAGATTTCCATTCCGTGTCTTCTGAAATTTCTTGATTTAGTTCAACAATTAATTTGGCATATCCTTCACTTTCTTCTCTAAAAAGATTAAATTTACGCTGCTTGTAACTGAAACCAAAGACATTGTTAACACATTATGAAATTAATTTAATAATCTTCTTTGTAATTTCAGAGAAAAAAGCATAGGTGCGGAAACTTACTATAGTTTAGTTTTTATTTTGATGAATTTAGTGTAAAAGTTTTTGTTTTTTAGTGTGCCAACATCCTGCAAAGTGTCTATTTCTAGTCTTTCTTTTAATAACTTGTCAGATAAGAAAGATTCTAACTCCCGGACTAAATAGCAGAAGTTTGATCTCTCCTCTGTTTGCACATCAAGCGAAGTTTCTGCATCCAAAACACAGACAACATCTAATAATATTGATGGCATATCTGCATGAATCATCTGAAATTTCCAAAAAAATATATATAAAGTAGCACAATTAAAAACATAAAAGGTTTAGAGATTATTAGATAATTTGATTGATTCCATATTTTTGAGGATAGAGTATGTTCATGTGACATTTATTATTGTATTATCTTATCTTTATAAAAGCAATTTTATAAATATAAATATTAAGTTATAAAATTTGTCATACATACAGTTATTTCACGCAGTACAGATATCACAGCATCTTTCTTAAGGTATCCTTTAAGCTCAGAGAGCAACAAATCATAGATACTTTGTGAAAGGCCTGACAATTTGCCTGACTTTGTAAATAGGGGACTTTTTCCTTCATCTTTGATATATTGTGTGATTAGCTTGATACTGCAAACAAGGAAAACCGATTACTAGAGTATATATTTCCTGAATATTGATTGGTTATGAAAATGAAAAACAATGTGTTATTACAGAATTATATTAAGAGCTGTATTGAAAACATTATAAGTGTAGCTTTATATACTTCACAAACTACAAGGTAAAATATAGATTTACAAATTATTAATGCAATCGTTACAAAATCAACATGTGGCTATAGACTTGAAACACAATTTTTATACAAATGATATCTTACTATGAGTCTCTGCCTGATTTTTCCCATGTCTTGCAGTACTCTGATATGAATTTTGTCACAGTACTCATGATGAAATTGTGTTAAGACGCCAGTTTTTACAACAAACTACAAAGTCAAAAATAAAACATACGCCGCAGCCATGACCGACTCAGCCACAGAGTAATCTTAAATAAAATAAAATTGATTTTTAATTTTGAAGTTTGACAAGTTGTCTGTAATGTCTTAGGACACTAATGCCAAAGCTACTAAGAATAAAAATAAGAAAAATCGCGCTTAAATAGTAGATGAAAAATGACAAAAAAAATTTATGTAATGTTTAGACTTTAGATTTACATAGGTCACGTTTCTTACGAATATTTAATGAGAAATATTATGACGTTAGTTAATTTTTGACGTGACAAAGTCTTATTATTCGATGGAGCCGGCTGCACGCACGAAAAAACATGACTCATGCGGCGTTACCTCGCTCTGAGGCGTTCCATTTAAAATTGACATGATTGTATTTATGCGTTCAAATAAATGTAACTTGATCAATTCAATTGTGATTTCCATTTACCTCCTCTATATCCATTCAAAATATCTATCAAAATTAATATTTTCTTATGAAAAATGCAACCGATCCATCAGTATTTTCTTATGACGTTGTCACGTTCAACTATCGTCAGTAAACCGACTTTACAGACAACCGGTTTTTTTGCTGTAAATATTATCGATAGAAAAAACGTCACTAGGCAACATTAGGTTTATTGAATCGTGCATCACTATCCGAAATCGGAATTCATATCCAATATTTTGATTGTTAATTGTTATAGATAACCTAAAAAAATCAGCTGTATATTTATTTTTATTCCCTGCTGTTTGACTGCATCCGAAATAACTGTTCGAAAAGACGTACAATTATAATTGTACCCCACTTTTACGTAAGAAATGCCTAGTTACGAAATGGCTATGATAATACGGGCTATGCCCAAAGTTGAACTTAAAAATGCTCTTATGAGAATATCTAACGGAATATTTGATAGAGGTGGTATTATACGAAAAATTGAAAACTTAGGATATCGACCACTGCCGTACAAAACAAGTGCTCATGGCCTGGTGCATAAAGAAGCAAATTTTTTTGTTTTTAAAATTGATACCGCAACCACTGTGGTTTCTGATTTGAAAGAAGAGTATAGTCGGGATGTAGATGTAGTCAGACAACGTGTTTTCAAAGTAAATGAGGATTCGGATCATGTATGTACTTTGGAAACGGAATTATTGCCGCCAGCATATCGCGAAGAAGTTCAGAAAATGATCAAAATGGGAAAGTCACAAGTGAATCGATTTAGATACAAATTCTCTTATAACTCAGGTTTGGATTACTATCCTTTCCAAAAGTAAACATTTATTGCACATAGTCCGTAATTGTACGTAGTTAATTATTATTAGGAATTATAAGTAATGAAACAAACATTTAAGCATTAATTATTTATTTAATTTATCCACTGGTTTTCCTCCACCACAACAAATTTCAATGCAATGTGAGTATATTTTTCACTTCTTCTATTCTGCCATTCTCTAAGGATTCATGAAGTTCAGCTAGAATTTGGTTGTCATTCTGCCCATGTGATAGTTTGCTCCAATTTGTATACCATTTTTCTATTTCAACTAAAAATTACACTTCATTTTCAAAAAGTTCAATTATATTTCTATACTTTATCTATCATAATGTTATTAAACTAAATATATTCAGTAAATGATAAGAAACATTGCTTTGCTGATTTTTAATATTGATAGACACTGTCTGAGATATTTAAGGTTGATACCGAATGTAATGGAGTTACAGTTTTCTTAATTTACTGGACTATGCATATAAATTTAAAAAATATAGGTGTTTTGTAACATATCCAAAACTTAGAATCCAGATCTTGTAAAAAATAATATATTCCTAGGTTTTTTATCACAACATATTGTGAAACTGAGTCCTTCGCTCTATCTGTTTGCAATAAACCCAAAAACTACTGCATTAACTCACCAATAGATTGCTCATAAAACATCCATATGAACAAAAATACTTACACATTAATTGATCAAAACATGTTTCATCCAAGTTTTCTGGCTGTTCCCAAATTCTTATATAATCTGTACAAAGTTGTAATTTACCTTCACTATTTATCAAATTAGTATCTAAATCTAGGGCACTGAAATGCAAAATATGATTCTTTAATAGATGTGTTACTTTTAAGTGGTATTTTTGAATTATTAACCCACCTTAAACAGTTTTTTAATTTACCCTCATTTTTCCATTTGTATTGTAATTGAAATTCATTATTTAAATTTTCAAAGGCCAGTGCGCAGCAGTTATCTGGAATATCTTTAAAAAAAAGAACATAAATAGATAAATTATATCAAATTCCTGTCACCATTTTTAACTTTTAATAACCGCTAAACTGATTTTACCGTAAACATACAAACAACATTGTTTTGTTCTCAGTTTCAAACGCGAGAAATCAACAATTAAAGTTAAGCAGAAAATTGTGGAAATTTAATAAAATTATTTTTGGTTTTAATCCCTTGAATAGACGTGTGATATTCAGTTGAGTAAAACACAATTTTGTTGAATATTTCTTATAGAATAGGGGCAAACGGGCAGGACTTGACTTTTTTTTTTAATATTATGGCAATAGTTTTAACTTTATGCCAGTTTCAAGTAAAAAGGACTTGACTTTAAGTATTATCGCCACTGGACACACTATTAGTGCCCTTCCTCACCGGGACTCCATGGCGACGTTTGGCGTCTCTGCGTCGCCAGACTGAGTCGCCAAAACGCGTCGCCAATGCATTCACTCGATTTAAAAATCAAAAATAAATTATAATAAAGTTATCAATAAAATAACAATAAAATTATCATTATTATTTTATTTAATCATTTTAAATCAAATTTTAAATTCATTTTTTATGTAAAATATTGATAATTAGGAGAGCAGGAGCCTTACCAACAATTTCTTTCAGGATAACTAAGTAAAAAACGTAATTGAGGGAGGGCACTTAGAAGGCTCGCCTTTTAATCCCTATGTCGAATTGGAGATACCTACTTCAGTGGGCATCTGGTTTCACATCATGATGGAACATTATAATGTTAATGACATACCATAAGTTATATTAACTTTTAATCCTTTTTTTGTAGTTAAGTTTGAAATTATGTCCTTCAAATCTGCTATTGTTGATATGTTATCTGATTTGAATATTGCAGAGCCACGTCTGTGAACATAATAGAAAATCCTGTACTGTTTCAATATATTTGTATTCAGGGGTGAATCTTGAACTTTGAAGCCTAGCTTATTATAAAAATCATTTTTCTGTAAATCATTTGACACCTCGATCGCACCACACTGTTTTGTCACATTTATTTCTTTACAACATAAAATTACGCCAGATAATTATTTATTAGATTGCATCTCCCTATTATATAATAGATTATAATTGAATGTATTTACTAGCTCCGCCATAATAATCCTTTCGCCGAGTCTATATTCGCGGATGTTCGGCGTATGTCCTGAGAGATTGCGGGCTAATCGATTGTGAGGAAGTTGCATGGATCTAGTTAGCGCTGTTATCTTCACACATGTTATATCCTTTCTATAACATTTATTTATAAGTATCTGATTGCCCTCCTTGTAACATATTTGATGTTTGAGGGCAAAAATAAAAAAAAACTCTCAATAAGTCAGGGAGCGTTCAAGTATTACGTAACGCAATTTTTGGAGATTATTGACCCCATGAACTCGCCGTAACGTTTTTCAGTACCCAAGTACAGTACTGTATCCAAGTCTAGTAAAACGTTTCGTGACCACCTAGTGACTCTTTAGTTACTATTATGTGGTGTAAGTAGAAAATAATATTAACAATAACGCGTAATTCAATGCCCCGCATCGTAACGTTATAAAATAGGAACCCCCCGCCTCTCCCAAAATTCGTTACGTAATACTTGAACGCTCCCTGACATCCAACACAAAAAAAAATTCAATTTTAACCAAGTAAAGTCTTCGTAACATTAGAATAAATTAATACTCACTGATACTGACAAAACAGATAAGTTCCCATAAGTGTATGTGAACGAACGAAATACACAGAGCTGGCAGGCTTAGGCAATTCACCTGGCAGAGCTTCATTAAGCCATGAGGTAACTTCAACGACAGAAAATGTACCAAGCACTTTTAACTCGCATAGACATCTGAAATTATCTTGATGTATTTACATAGCATCATAATGAGTTTTTGTATGGCGCGATCCCAAGTTTCCATCAGCGCTTGATATTTCTATCAAACTTGCTTACAAAAACGTTTTTTCCTAATTTCCAATAAAGAGGTAATGCCGTTTCTATTGGAAGTTGCAGAGTAAGCTAAGAAATTAACCTGGATTTTACGAAGGCGGTAAGAGTGTTGCAGATGCTCAGATATTTTATAACAACATAACATAACAAACCTCTCGTCATGATGTAGAACAACAACGTCGGATTTGAAAAAAAATCCAAAATCTACTTTTTATCATAATTGGATACTACATTGATTAAATATTACGGGTAGGTTTAAAAAAAATCCGTGTTTTAAATTTCAAATTCATCAGTCGGTAAAGTGACGGATTTGATAGAAACATGTGATTTTTCTAAACTGCAATTTAATGTTATTATTTTTATTTTGTTTCAAAACAAACCCTTTTGTTTGCTTGTTTGCCAATCTTCGTAATAACAGAATATGAATTAAAATAGTTATGACAAAAACTAACATGATTAAGTATATTATTTTGAAATGGCTGCCCTGTAAAGTTTACTATTTGTCAGGTCTGTCACTATTCTACGACTATGACGCTCTGTTACCTATATAAAAAAGTTAACGGGCAGGAGGCTCATCTGACGTTAAGTGATACCGCCACCCAAGAAACACGTAACGTCTTTTTTAAATATAAAACCAGTAGCACTACAACCTTTTAGGTCTGGGTCTCAAATAGCTGTATCTGTTTCGTGAATATTTTTTTTCCAATAGACAGCTAGATGATCTACCTTTTGTACGTGGTTTCCTCACGATGCTTTTCTTCACCGTACGAGCGAGCGTTAAATGCGAAAGGAAAACAGTCCATTGGTGCAGAGCTGGGGTTCAAATCTACACCCACAGGGATGGGATTCGGACGCCGGCGAATATTGAATTTTTTTAACAGGAGACAAACGGGCAGGAGTGCGTTGTCGGTCTTTCAAGAATTGGTTTGCTCTTTTGTTGAAGGACCCTAAGTCGAATTGGTTCTAAAATACCTCAGTGGCCAGCTGGTTTCACATATTGTGTTATTATTATTAATTAGCTATCTCCATCTTAACGGGACTTATTTAAATCGTTAAAACCTACCTTTTTGTTTCGTTTACATCTATTTCTTCATGTTTAGAGTAGTAGGGTAGAAGTGGTAAGTTGAATTTTATTAGTCTAGCTACCCTCGGCGCTCCCGCTGGTAGAACATAAACCAGCACTTTTGTACTTTCAAGAAGAGTGGTTTCAATATTTCTCAAACCTATCCATAGCCGCCTAGTGCCGGCCTGGCATCTTATAGTGGCTAACAGATCTGATTCACGATCCTAGAAATTAATATTACAATTTAAAAATCACAGTGTAACACAGCGCGATTCGTTTGCCAACCATCTTTTGTTTTATATTTAAGTAAGTTGTCAAATGAATAAAAACATAATTATTTTTTATTTTCATAATGTTTAAATGTAATTTTGAGAAATTGAACTATATAGTAACTGCCTTCACTTGACTGTGATAGGTAATACAACATTGATTTGACCGTCAAAAAACTTAATTATTTCTAGTTTTCTTTTTACTTTTTCTTATTACTTAAATGTTGTAACAAACGCTACGCTGAATATCATTCAGGCCGCTAGTTAAACGGCGATGTTTACTTAAAGGCTAGGCTGTTAATTGAACGGCTTATTAAGCTAGTTGGCTGCGACATATCTACTGTAACAGAACACGCATTTCTTGTGTAATATAAACTATTATTACTCCGAATCAAAGTCATTTTAAATATAAATAAACCGAGCGATTATATATAACAGCTCTTCCTTAGTTTGAAGACAATTTACACATAGGTAACTTATGAAGCATCTTTCGACACTGTTGTAAGTAATACAGGAGTTATTAGGATAATATTGAATAGTTATTTGTAAAACTGTATCTAACCTGTGGTGGGCAAAGGCTGAGCACCGCCGCTGTGTCAGTTTGTATGACCAATTTGTTATTACAATAAATAAATAACATGTCAAGAGGTACAGCTGATGTTATCCTTGCTTCTATCCAACCATTTTTCGTTGCTCCTGTTAACTAGAATATAGTTTTATTAGTGTGTCACTAGATATTGAATCCCAGACCTCCAGAATATTCGCTAAAACAATTAAAAAGTTGGAAAAACAATTACCGTCACATTTTTCGGTTACGCGTTACATTTTTGCGTTACGCGCATCTTTTTCTTGTCCCTACCACGGTTGATTCGATGAGATTCGAAGCCATTAATAACAAAAATATATAATAACGATAACAATGATAGTAATCATTCTATTACAAATAATGAAATTCTGTAATAATCTTAGTAGTAATAACGTAAAATGATATAATTTTATAATTTGTATTCATGTCTATGATAATAAAAGCCTTTAAACTTTATCTAATTTAACTTTATTTAACCAATTTCTGTAAAGTTGCATATAGTAGATCATTTTTCGAAAAATAAGGTCATAAAGAAGTTTCACTTTTTACGTGTGTACACTAGTACACACACACTACGCACACATTTTTTAAAAAAAAGTTATCCTTATTGGTTTATAGTCGCCGTATATAGACGCCGACAAAAACATACACACTGATGTTGGCTAGCTCCATGGTATCACTAACACTACTATATGGATATACTTACTTCATATTGTATGTCCAACAATGGGGGCATAGACAGACCGCTCTGTAGTGATCTTGTGCTTTTCTGGTATTTATCCCTTTCATTGGCTGTTTGCTTCTCTAAACGAGTTATTTCATTTCTAAAATAATTATTAAAAACGTCTATGCAATCTTTTAGTACTCAAACGAAATTTACAATGTTAGCAGTAATCTTGGAATTTAGCGGGCAAATTAAATAATTTTATTTAATAATTGTTTAAAAAAAGGCTTAGAGCCTATTGTGTAAAGCCCGATTGAAACAATAACTAAGAAAATTATCTATAAAACACGAAAAATCATTTAGCGCTATGAAAATAATAAAGGCATTTTTTTAACTTGGAACTTAGCGGGCACATTAAATATTTACGTTAAATAATAAAAAAATGTGTACTTATGTACGCGCGTAAGAAGTTATACTTCTTTGGCTTTCTTTATTTTTTTTAGATATTAAATAATTAATGATAAATATTTAGCGTTAATAATTTAACAATATTTAATATTTAGTATATTATTCAATTATTAATTAATATGAATAATAATTATTATTTATTATTTTATTATATTATTAATTCAATTTAATAACTAGGTATGATTCAAACTTTAACTATAAATTATAAATTCTGAGAAAAAATAATTTAAACTTTATTGTTAAAGGTACCCATTATGGTCATTCAAAATTTTGGAAGCTGCTAACGCCACTTTCCATTTCTTTTTCTTGTAGATTGTCTTATTCCCATCTCGCTCGCGCCCGCTCGGCGCCCCTACTATTTTTTTTTTTTTTTGGGGGGCCCCCCCCCCCCAAATTTTATTTTTTTAAATTCCAAAAGATAACTTCAATAAAAATTCCGGCTTGACAGCCAATTATTAAAAGCGATAATTTATAAAAAAAAATTTTTAAAGTCGGGTTGAAACGGAAGCTAAAGAAAATTATCAACTTTATTAAAATGTGCATTGTGAAATTTTCTTGAGGAACAGAAGAGAAAGAAAATCTTAAAAGACATTCAACAAGTAAGAGTAAATGTTCAACTAACTCTAGTTTCGCTCTGCGCGACGCAAGCGCATCGGCAGGAACATTTACAACTGCCGCCGACTGCAGACTGCGAGGTCTCAAGCCAAAAATCCTGCCAGAGAATGTGGAGGCCAGTATTTCTGGTTCATCAGAGCCAATGCAACCACCGCACACGGATGTTATTGGTTCACCACAGAACTAAAATAAATTTTATAGAAAATATATAGGCACTTATAGAAAGTAATATTTCCTTCAAAAAAAATTATGCAGTATTTCTCGATCTCTATTTAAGTTAATAGCGTTTTCGATCAAAATCGAGTTGGAATTATAGTTTAAATTAATTATTTTTTATGTAATAGGAGGCAAACGGGCAGGAGGCTCACCTGATGTTAAGGGATACTCATGCCCGTGGACACTCTCAATGCCAGAGGGCTAGCGAGTGTGTTGCGGGCCTTTTAAGAATTGGTACACTCTTTTCTTGAAGGACCCTACGTCGAATATGTTCGGAAATACTTCAGTGGGCAGCTGGTTCCACATAGTGGTGCGCGGCAAAAACTGCATTAAGAAACGCTCAGTCGTGGAATGACGGACGTCGAGGTGATAAGGGTGGAATTTCGTATTCTGCCTTGACGTCCGATAATGAAACTGCAGGTATTAATCCGAACAACTCTGAACACTCAAACCACATCTCTACGAGAGGGTGTTACTTCATATTGTAACCCTAAAACGTTGTTATGCTTTTGATTGACTAAAGGAGAAATACATACGTAGGTATACTTGAGCTGTAATTTATCCTCGTAATTTTCCAAATTACTTAGGTATAACTGTATAGATCCGTCGTGACGACCGACTACGAGGTGGGTCCCTACATAATTACGGAACCAGCCAACGCACATAACAGATCCCAATCCTTTGCCATCGACTAAGCATTTGCTTACTAAATTTGATCTGTAGGTATAATATTTCATTTAAAATATCATTTGTTAAACGTTCAGATAATCTATATAAATAAAAATGAATCGCAAACTCAAACTCGACGACGGCTGGACCAATTCCACCTATTTAGGTCTGGGCCTCAGATTTCTGAATCTGTTTCACAATCATTTTTTAATCTAATAGGCAAGTAGGTGATCAGCCTCCTGTGCCTGAAACACGCCGTCGACTTAGGCAAGCCGGTTTCCTCACGATGTTCCCTTCACTGTTCGAGCGAATGTTGCGCACATAGACAGAAAATCCATTGGTCCAGCCGGGGATCGAACCTACGACCTTAGGAATGAGAGTCGTACGCTAAGGCCAACACTGCTCTCCATATGTTGGTATGTAGCTACTAAAAAGGAAGGATAAGTGAAAAAATAATTTTAAGGAGAACCGAAGTTGGCAGGTGTATAATAATTTAATAAACTACCCGACATGGTAACAATATTTTCCTATGTTGAGTAGGTATTATCCATGGCCACTCCAAAAATTCGTGGGATTATATATTAAAAAGTTTGTGAAGCTTAAAATGTTTCCTTATTTGGAATATATCTGATGTTACAAGGCGCTTAGTTTTCACTTAGATATGGTTTTTCCCCGGCCATTTTCGAAAAAAAAACACTGGCTCTACCTTTTAAGTCTGAACAAATTCTGTATCTGTTTAGTTATCATTTGTTTTTCCTAATGTATATATTGACACTTCTGTTCCTGACACACGCCATTGATTTTTTTGGTTCTAAAGCCGGTTTCCTCACGATGTTTTCCTTCACCGTTCGAGTGAGTGTTGAATTAAACACGGTGTAGGGTGAACATTGAAAGTCAATTGGTCGCACAACCGGAGATCTAACCTTTGAGTCATGAGAGTCGCACGCTATAGCCACTAGGCCAACACGGCTGCCTAGGATCCAAGGAATACACCTAAGGACACTACTTACTCATGATACAAAACCAATCCAATAGAACCGTCAGCAGCTCCATAAAAAGCACATATTTCGGTAGGCCTCTGCGATTGTGGAACTGCAAGACGAGATGGACCAGAGTTCATATATACTCTCGTAATAAATTTACCGTTTTCCACAATTGCCGCTCCTTTATTGGCTATTAAGAGAAGAAGTCTTATACGAGTGCTCTGAAATAAAGAAACTGTCATTGCTCTCTCTCTCACACTCTATTCTAACATAGTTTGTGAGGTTCAAGGGTGAAGTTTTCTCTGGATCGACTGTTCTGCTTTTGAAAATCCTTTTATCAATTAGCCACGTTATTTATGAGTTTTATAGGCTACTAAAATACCAAATACGAATATACTTTGAATATACTTTTTCGTGGTAGTCGGATGTGTAAAGTTGGAGGAAAAACCGTCGTACGGAAACGTTTCTTACGAAACCTGCCTTATCGATTGGGTTTTATAATTGATTAGTGCCTGATAATGCCTAACTGGCTAGATAAAATAACAACTAAGGGCCGATTCGACCAAACAAGAGTAAATCTTAATCTTAGAATAAATCGTCAGTTAAATCAATTTTACGTTTTACCAACTACAAATTCTAAGATTAGTGGACCTATTCGGGAATAGCTCCTATACCGCCGTTTCGCACGGAATAACAGCTATTCCTAGAATAATTTAATGGCGTCAGTCAGTCCAATCAGCTGATTTCTGTCATTTCACAAATATGTATTCTGTGTTTTAATTTCAAGTCAACGCAACGCACTAAATTAATAGTCTGGCATTGTATAATGAAACGTTTAAACAATTTATTATTTATTTATTTATTTTTAGATTTTTTATTTTCTATAATATTAGAATGAAATTTAACTAGGCTCAACAGAAGTTCCTTTTTAGACGAAAGCCTCAAACAAACAAGAAATAAAAACTTTTTGTTGTCGTTTGACACCTGTTAAAAGCTACTTTTTCACTCTATAATACGGCAAAATCGAGTTGACATGATGTATGCTCTTACACTGTCCCGTTGTAGAACAACATTTATTTGCCGAGTTTTATTTTCGTTCACCATTCTCTTGCTATTCGCGTATTGTTATTCCTAGCGCAATTATACTATCGATTACGTGGACAAACGACTATGGATTTACTCGAGATTAAAATCATGGAATAGATTATTCTTGGTATAGTTACTCGTGTATAAATTGAAGTTTGGTCGAATCGACCCTAAGTTTGCTAACTACTTACATTAGCTGTCATAAATGCAGCCACATCGAGCACTCTGTCCTCACACATGAACGATGTTAGCTGATTTAAATCCTTACAATACGTAATTGTTCGTCCACTGCATAGGATCAAATCATTACCAATTATCCACCTATAAATAAAAAATCTATATAATGTACCAGACATATAAAATAAAAGTAATACGACAAAGGCTCCAGAAGAAGCCTGGTGCTGGTGGTGTGAATGTATGTCTTCCCAATAAGTTTCAGTATTTATTTATTTCGTAACAGCTAACATAAATTATATAACAAAACACAATTATAATAAAGATATACTCAAATATAGAATACATAATATATACAAAAAGGTTCAAACGTTTACGAAAGGGCAAATCAATAAATATTATTAAATACATTAAACTAAGTGACCTATAACTTATATATATATATATGATAGCTATGAAAGTGAGGGTATATACGTGAGGGGTGTGTATGTGGGTTGTGATGATGATAATGCAAGTTATTTGTTTCTTTAAAAATGAATTAAGAATGAATTGAAAAATTAAATAAATAATTAATAACAAATGCGTTAAAAAGAAAACGTTTCTATTATTAAAATTTGTTACGTTTGTAGAGAAAGGATTGTTCCTCCAACGTTAAGGGATGATCCTCGGTCAGGCCAACCATTACCTGATCGGCCCTAGGGGTGTTTTTTTGTTGTGAAATCTCGCTGTTGTCCTTAAGAGCTTTTCCCGCGACTAGCGCAAGCGTCTTTTCCGGGACTCGGACCTCGGCTTGGGTTGCCGCGGCTGGTCAACCGCTTAAAAGCAAGATGAAAGCTCACTGAGCGAAAGACGATGTAAAGGAACCCGCCTTTCCCAGGGAAGATGATTTTTTACCCTAATCGACTATGCCCCAGGGGCTGAAGTCGAGAAGTTCTATATATCCTTAGTAGCCGGAATAACTTCGTAAGCGCGTTTCAGGGTTAGATGTCATCGCAGTGATTGTAAGCGCAGATTATTGCTATACGTCAAACTACTTACATAGAAGTGATAACTTCCGACACCAATGTCTCAACTGTTAGGAACACTTTTCCCTTCCTTGTATAGCCCTTGACTTCGTTCCCCGATGCGGCATATATTTTATCGTCATTCGTGCCTAGAAAAACAAGTAAATGTATCTTTTGACGTGTGCAGTATCGCAACGGTGTAAGAATACAGGTCAACCAATTCCAGGAAATTTTATGGGCTGGGTGTGCTACCCACTAAGACCATCGCGTTCACGACGAATACCGTATCTCAAGATGCCTCCATTGCTTGCGTTTTTATTTAAACGTTAATTAATAGTTCAAAGAACCAGTGGTGCTACAACCTTTAAGGTCTGGGCCTCACTGTGTCTGTTTCGTAATCATTTGTTTTTTCTAATAGTGCCTGTGCCTGACCGTTGACTTTATGAGTCTAAGGCATGGTTTCACGAAATTTACCTGAAGACGACGGATGCACAATAACTGATGTGATAGACTTGCTTGGTAGGGTTTTAAATTGAACCACCGGTTCTTCATCTTTTATTCCTAAACACTGCAAAACTCCGTTCTTATCACCAACTACAAACTAAAAATACATAAAAGATTTTAATAACGGCGTTCGATATTTTATTTGCCTTCACAAAACTTGAAAATGTTTCTATTTCTGTACCCACTTAACCTGTAATTTAAGTGTTACTTTATCAATTACAGCCTTAGTATAAGATACCAAGTTGTGACAGCGTTGAGTACGACGCATCACAAAATCCAATACGGTTTTGACGTGCGTCCTTAGCGCCCGTACTCTGAATATACCCCGGTAATCTGAATCTCAATTCAGGAACGAAACTTGAAATATGACTTCCATATATCAAAATCCAATACATTGTTACAATACGGACTTGCTAAGTCTTGTTGCCTCTTACCAGAGTTAGGAAGAAAATATAATTCCGCACCATTAATTAATGTATTTCACTCCGATTAATTAATCATTAAATTAAAGAAGCTTAGGACACCGACAGGTCATATTTAGGTCAATTTGCGCGTCTACTAGGCGTTCACTAGGGATAACGTTTTAAATCTCTTTTGTGAATTTCAACGAACAGCTCTTGACTTGGAGTCTCATTTATCAAATTCTGAATTTTATAAATAAGTAGAAATTACATACTTTTTGTTGAACCTTTTCGTTTACGCTTTGTAGTACTTTCAATGTTTCCGGATATGTAATCCCGCATAATGTGTAATCAATACGTGACAAATCGTATTCCATTGATAGCAAGTAGGTTTTTAAATAAAGAACAAGTTATGTCGTAATCGTAACACTAATACTATTAAATTCCAAATTCAAATGTTTATATAATCTTCGTTGAAAATCGATATCGGTGTCATAGTAACGAAAACTAACAACATACATGACTCTCCAAGAACACACTGTTTGACATTATTATTAGGTACTGATTGCTTATAATTTTTAAATAACTTTTATCCGCTTAGGGGTCATGCAACTCATGCACATGGCATCCAAACTTGGATTCTCGGCTGATCAGTATTCTTTTTGGTAGACATAAAAGATCGTAATTATTATCTAAAATCTACGTACCCAAAAAAGATATAAATAAAACAAATTTAAATTCAAGAAATACTTTGTTGACGCGCTTTAGATTATGGTCCATATTCTAATGCGATTCTTAAATGACAAAATCGTCTTGAGCGAGAAAAAATTAAAATGGTCAAACCTCATTAAACTAGATTTAAATTTGATTTTCGTTCTAGAATACGAGCCTATGAAATTATACAGATTATTAAAAGTTTGATCGATAGACCAATTATTTCTTAATAAAATTACTCTACTTAAGCAGTTTATTTTTTCTGCGGGATAAAAATAATATTATCAAATAACTATTATTAAATAGATTTAAAATTTCTAAACAATATTGTCAAACGTCATAATAGCTATGTGTCAAATAAGTCAATAGAGTCATTCTAAGTAGAATAGTGAATAGTGATTACTGTTTTAGTCTGTGTCAGCTACAATTTACAAATGTTCCAATTCCCAAAATTCATTCATAACCAAAAATAATAAAACAAATAAGTTCTTAAATAAAAGTACACATATCTGTCTGATCTTTTCATAAATTATACAAACTGAAAATGGATGGCGATAAAGAAAATGTTGTTCAAGCTGTTGTAATAATGGATACATTTAATAGGAATCTAAATCCCATATGCACTGATAAACCTACAGTAAGTGCGCTATTTGCTTTTAATTAAATATATAGTTATATTTTATATAATACTTTTCAGTGTCACTTAACTTGAAATTAACATTTTGTCAGGGTTTACTAGCTCTAGCTGGGGTACCTCTTATTGATTATGTTCTGGAGTCGCTTGTAGCTGGAGGAGTAGGAGAAGTTATATTGTTCTCTTGTCAAGAACCATCAAAAGTTAGAGATTATGTCAAGTAGGTAACTCAAAACTGTCTGAATCAAAAATTTATGTTTATACCAAATTATAATAAATTTCAACATTAATAGGAAACGTAAGGAAGAAAAAGTACCATGGACATTTTCACTAGATGTACAGATATTGTCCTCTGAAACATGTCAGACAATGGGTGATGTGATGCGGGAAATAGATGCAGCAGGTCTTATTAGAGGATACTTCATACTACTGAATATTAATACTATAACTAATGTAAACTTTGCTCAATTATTGGAACAACACAAGTGAGTATTTAGAAAAGAAATAACAAAGTTTTGGTGTCTGTAGATTAATAGAGATTTAAATAGTCTCTTATTGTCTGGATTATGAATGGAGGACTGTTTTTTCATCTCTAGGTGGAATTCATTTTTGGACTAGGTTGTACATATTACCAACTAACTTATATGAATGGAGGACTGTTTTTTCATCTCTAGGTGGAATCCTTCTTTGGACTGGGTTGTACATATTACCAAATAACTTACAAAGTTAATATAGCGTACAAATATTTAGTAGTACATTTAATATTTCAGACAAACCTGTAAAAAAGATAAAGGTGCAGCAATGACATTAGTCTACAAAGAAGTTGCATGGGATCATCCTCTTATAAGTAATAATAATCCTATTTTTGTGGCAGCTGATGGTAATACTAACAAAATTTTGCTGTATCAGAAGTATAAAACAAAATGCAAGGATAATACTTTATCTTTACCTTTGGTAAGTACTGACTGTTTTCAACTCTATGGTTAGTGTACATGAAAAACACTTTCTAATTATCCTTAGCTTGCTTCATGTGTCCTTTATTATATTATATTTATAGGTTATTACACTGTGATTTTTAGTTTTTATGAATAAGGGGAAGATTCAGAGAGATACTAGGACTAAGTCTGACTACCATATATTTACAATTTATTTAATTTTGACATAAGAGAGTCATACTCTCTCTACTCTGAATCTTACCCTTACCCTATTCAAAATATATAGTTTAATAATGTAAATAAATAATTGTTTCAGGAGAGTGTATTGCATCATTCAGAAGTAAAATTGCATCATAATCTACTTGATGCAAATATTGCACTCTGTTCACCTTCAGTCCCTCCACTTTTTTCTGATAATTTTGATTTCCAAAACAGAAATGATTTTATTCATGGAATTCTTATAAATGAAGATATTCTAGCCAGCTCTTTATATTACACTTTATTGAAGGGAAATCAATATGCAGCAGCTGTAACGAATTGGAAGACTTATCATATTATATGGTTTGTTTAATTCAAATTTCTTTCAATGATATTGTCATTTGATTTGTGTAACTAGATTAATTGTGGATTAAGACAATTATTGGCTGCAAACAGTATGTTTAAAAGAAAAATACTAGAACATAGGCATTAGAAAAACATAAAAAGGAATATTTATTTATTTTTCAGCTTGGATGTCCTTCACCGTTGGGTTCATCCATTATCTATTGAAACTGGGTCCTTCTACCAGAACAGTTATATCTTTATGGGCAAGCACAACTATATTAAAACAAATTCTGTGCTCAGCAGGTATTTGTTTTTACTTAGTAAAATATTCAATAGATATGTCACGTAAGACAAATTAACAAAATATTTAAAAATCTGATATTTTTATAAGTAATTTCTTTTTAGATCTTGCTCTCTTATTGAGGATGTTATAATTGGATCAGAATCCCATATAAGTGACATGTCATCACTTCGTAAAACGATAATTGGTGATAAAAGCCTTATTGGAAAAAATGTTACACTACAAGGAAGTCATATTATGAATAATGTTGTTGTAAAAGATAATTGTAAAATTATAAATAGTTTTATTGATGATGGCTGTGTTATAGAAGAGAATTGCATTCTTGAGGGTGTGATAATTGCTTGTGGAGCAAAAGTAAATACTGATTCAAAATTAAAGGGAAACATAATTGAAAAGTCAGTTAATGACAAAAATGGTAAGATCAATTTTATATAGAATTGCATGTTGGCAAAATAATGTTTCTAACGCTATCTGCGTATATACTTTTTGAGTTGTTAGCTCTATAAATTCCTTAGAAGCAATATTATTCTTTACATCATATTGTATAATGTAAGCCTAGCTTAGTTTAGAAATATTTGTTTAATAATTCTTATCTTTATTAATCATAAATTCTTAATGAGAGATAGTAATCCATATTATATGACTTAATTAATCTCTGATCTGGCACATAAATCATAACCAACATGGTTTCATTTATATTATATGTTATGGCCAGTTATGATGCATTCTTAATCATAAATAGTTACTCCATTTTCTATTTTGCAGAAAAAACATTATCCAAATCTACATCTGAAAGTGGAACAGAATGGGAAAATGAATCATCTGGTGATGGTGACGAGGAGTTTGTTGGTTTTGAGAAACAGTGGAGTGATAGTGAAACATGTTATTCATCAGACTCCAGTGCTGAATCCTCATTACCTAATTCACCAGTTCCTGATGATATAAACAGTAAGTTTTTATTTGTAGAAATTCCAAATAGTGACCAGCAAGCAAGAGAAACATTCATTTCTAGTATGGCTGACATTGGCACTAACCTCAAATAGAACCCTAATGATGTCATGTACTAATCATTAGTGCAACCATTTTCCAATATAAAACCTTTATTGAAGTAAGAATTACTGTTGAAGGTACATGGTCTTCTTTTTTGGTTATCTATTTACAAGCAAAGCAATCCATATTTTATTATTAATAAAAATTAAAAATACTTTTTGTTGAACAATCTCTTGTTATAAGTGTATACTAAAACAAATTTTATTTTCTAGTTTTCCTTCAAGAGGTGATTGACAGTTTAGCAAGAGGTTATGAAGAGAAATTAAAGTGTGATTACCTTATATTAGAAATCAACTCCTCAAGATATGCATACAATATTCAATTAAATGAAGTCAATTTCTTTGTTGTGAGAGCATTACTCAGTTTGCCTATTCTGGTGGATAGCAAGAATGTTCTTGTCACAGTGAAAGATATATTGAAGTTTTTCCATCCTGTTTTATCTAACTATATTAAGACAAAATCGTCAACAATGGACTGTCTACGAGCTGTTGAGGTAAATAATAAATAATCCAGTTCAGTTTGCTAGGTCTTTCAATTTGATACCTGTTTGGATGGGAGCTAAGATCTCTATACTAAATATAAAAATGTGGAATAATTCAAATGTCATTGGTATTTATCATTAAAATACTGGTAATATACTGGTATATATAAGCTATATTTTATTACAGGACAGCTGCATTAAAAATGAATGGCTTAATGATAAAGCCGGTCAAGTGGTACATTTGCTGTATAATGCAGATGTTATAGATGAAGATTCTTTATTAGAATGGTATGAGGATTTGAAAGAGGAGGAAAGTGAAATTGTAAATCAAACATCACTTGTTAAGTTCTTTGAGTGGCTCAATCAAGCTAGTGAAGAAAGCGATGAATCTGAATAATGAAAAATGTTTGTTTATATTTTTGTGTTGTAAATAAATTGATGTACGTGTTTTAAGTTTAATTAATAATAAAGTTATTGTTTCATCTTATTGTTGCATATTGCTGGCACTGTACAGTAGTAAATTTAGTGAACTTAGAAATGTCTAAATTTGTTGGCTCACATGGAGATTGAATCTTTATCTGTCTCATGTGAGTATCACGTCCATTTTGGTGATTGCTTAGAATAGCTATTTGTATCATATAAGTCCGTATTGGGCTATCATCTAGATCTTTAATAGGAATCATTTCCCAACCTGGAAATCGTAAGTAGTAATCAGATATCATGTAGTATCAATAACATTATATAAAAGCCATAACGTGCATAAAATATTTACCACTGGGTTCTATTAATTCTATCACTTCAATTTCCTGTAGATCATTAAAATGTGTTCCAGCACGAATGGAAATTCTACTTGGTGTGTAACTTTCATCAAGTTTATAGTCTGTATAGATATAAATATGTGATACCATGGTTTTCCGTTGAAATTGAATATTTACTAAATGTGGCAATTGACCATCAGATTGCCAATAGGTGTCCATGCAATCATCTCTTAGTTGATCAATACCAAAACCTGTAAATACAATTCAATATATATATCTTTAAAAGTTTTGTTAGCATTAACAAAAACTCATGCCTTGATACTTACCAGGTTTGCAGGAGGATAGACTCCAAATAGCATTATTTCCTACTTCACGTACTGTTCCGGACCTTTCGCTGACCAAAGGGTCCTTTTCTGAGGTCATTGTAAATTATTTTCCCTGTTGATTTAATATACTAATTTCTTTATTCTAATATTTAATTTTGTTATCGATATTTTTTATTAAACAACTGCCACAGGTTACTGCTATAAATCGTTATTTCTGTCAATAAACTGCTAGTATCAAAGTCAAAATATATAGGAAATGCTCGCTGTTGTCTATTTCACTTTTTAAAACTTCGTGACTTATCTGTGGTTTGATGCATTTTAGCGGCACTTTTAAAATGATTGACGAAACATTTGAATATTGCAAAGCCGGTAGTTTTTATCCTTAAAAATTAAAATTAGTAATCTTAACATTATTATTGATACTACCGATTTTTGATATGAGAAAAACATCAATAAGAGCAATTTAATATGCTGTTAAAAATTACTAGTATTGTGAATATTGACATAGCTTTTGGCTCTTAACTACACCTTAAATTTTCCTATTTTACTAGAAAAAAATACGCACATTTTGTTTACATTATGTATAACTACGCAATCTTTCATCTAACGCGTAGTTTCGTGGGAATAAAACGCAAATAATTGATAAAATTGACCCATAGCTACCCAGTTAATTTAGTTTTATTAGAAAAACAATGGGAACGGGTTGACAAATTGATAACTTTATAATTAGTGGTTACATAGGCCATGAAATAATTGGTTTCGTTGGGGCATGCGATCAAGCCATTAGAAGCGAGGGAATTTTTACCAAAATATGGAAACGCTATAAACAGTGGAAGTTTATTCTTAATTGACCAATAAACAGCGTAATGCGTAATCGAGGTAAAAATTTGCAAATATTTGTAGCGATTCATTTATCATAAAAATACACTACCTGAATGCAACTTGTCGTGTGTATGATTTATCTGATATTAATTAATCTACTTCTTAATTTTTCGCAATTTGCGCAGATAAAAGAAAACATTGAGTCAAAAATTATTTAAGCTAACCAAAGATTCAAATTCTGTAACAGGCAGTTGTATTCTTTTTTTGGGCATTTGTATAAAGGTATGTTTTTAGTTTATAGTTATTGAAGTTATACTTCTTTAGGCGCGTTATGAAAAATTTATGAAAGTGAAATTTTACGATGCGCGCGCACCGTGACACAAAATTAACAGAATGAAGTTGCCCACGGATGCTACGGCATTGGACATAATTTAAAAACAACATTCGAATAATAATAGAATTTATGTTACAGAATAATAATAAATATTTAATTTTTCAAATGTAAACTGAACTTTATTGACTATAATGACTCCTTTTCCAGTCTTTGATTATTTAATTGTAAATAATTATTTGCATGCAATCAAAAACTATTTTTAATAATGCCAAAGAAGTATAACTTCTTACGCGCTTACATAAGTACACGCACCCTTTTTTTTATATAGTTTTTTCTTTATTCACTATTATGTTCGGCGTTTTGCTATCCATTGGGGATTTGTTTATACATAACAAATTTGGTGTAATAATTAAGAATTTGGCATAGACTTGACGCAACCTAATTAATCTGTGTCGCCTTAAACAATAAACATGCCCAGAGTCTCAGGTTACCTAGAGACAAGCATAAAGTTTTTTTTTATTTGACCAGTATAGTTTATGTCTACAGTCTACGTCAAAATTTAAGATTTATAAATAGCTAAATGTAATGTGAGATATCTTATGACTAAATTATTTACGTAAAAATGATAAACAAGAAACAAATTGAACAATTATCTGCGTTCGCTGGGACCTTAGCAATCTTTGGAAGTACCGGATTTATGGGTTTAATTTATCTGACCGATTGGAAATGTATCTGCAGATATATTCCTTACTACAACAGTAAATTTACAGATTAAATGCATATATTGTAACCAGTCTATGACCGAGTTAATGTGGCTTGATTTTAATACTTGGGCACGTGTAAGCACAAAAGAAATAAGAGTGAATGGAATTAAAATAATGACTACTTTCGATGATCAGGTGTGTCAGGATTTCGTTGTGTCAACCGGATCGCGCACAGCCGGCACACGCGCACCTGGCCCTCTGGCCCTCCTGCCCTCTGAATAAACAGGACCTCTGTTGAGTTATTGTTATTGTAAATTTGTTAAAAGAGCTGTAATAAAATTTTAAAAGGAATGGTTCTATTAATTTTATTGTTGTATTGTTAGTTAGATTTTCGGCTGTAACTTAATGAGTAATATTTTATTTATTAAGTTTAAATAAACGAAGTATTTTTTTCACTCGTTTCAGAACTGAGCATAACCTCATGGTGTTTTTACTGATAATTTTGTTTAAAACGCAGTTGGTGATAAATTGTGTACTCATCTAGTAAACTACGAACTACTAACCACTGAGCCGTGGGCGCAAATAAGGTACACCATAAGAAATAAAATAATAATTATACCTTGTTTTTAGACAAATATTTGACTACCAAAAAAATTATAATAATGAAGTTCACATCAATTTAAGAAAAAGATTACTTAGAAAAACAATCACATATTTATGTAACATACTTTTTAATATACATAATTAGAATACTCAATACATTTTAAATACTATTACTATAATATTATATATTATAATATCAATTGGTAAACATGCGTGCGTTTAAAAAATAAATGTTGGAAAAAATAGATTTTCGTATCTTTAAGTATCTAATAAAATATGTATTTAGGTATATCACTATCATTGTTTATTTTTATAAATAATACTAACTACCAGACCATGTCTTATAAAAAATGTTTCAAGTTGAATAATTTCTTAGCAAATATTGTTTTTATTTCGCGACCTAAGATATTTTACAAAAGGGTGCGTTTTCAACTAGAAAGCAAAGGCAGGGTGGGGTGCGATGCGCACGCGCTTACAACACGGGCTTCACATTCCGACAAACATTCGTGAGTTCGGTCTGAAGCGGGCTGGCCGTGTCGCTTGCGTCGCCCACTTCCCATATATTTCGCGATTAAATTTATGCCTATGAAATCATCGTTATTGTTAAAGAAACTGTTGGACATTGTGAAACAAAGTGTTTCGGTGTTCAAAATGGATTTGTCGTGTGGCGAAAATCTGGAGAACTCAGGAAACAGCAACGGTGGAAGGCCAGATGGCTGCATCGCAGGCTTCGACCCAGCCCTCGACCGTAATCCACACTTGTTGACGAATCTCCTTGCATTGGAAAGGTTTCATGGATTGCACACAGATTATTTTCAACACGTCCAAATAGATATACAGCCGTTTATGCGGAAGGTTGTCACAGTATGGATGTTGGAGGTAAGAATTATGATTCATAGTAGGGTCTTCAATCATGTTAATTACTTCCCTTTGTGGAAGCTTGAAGCTGTCGCCTACTGTTTCCGTCAACAGCTGATTATAGTGCGATCAACGACCTGTAATTTGTAAGGGCCTCCGAACTTTCTAATGTTTTGTTGATGTCCACAAAACACTGTCAACAGATGATTCATTATGCTACCCTCATGTGTAAAAGAATAAATAAAATTGTTTAAAAAAGATTATAGTCGTAACTGTTCCTGACATAACTAATTAGCTTTAGATTTATAATAATTCTGACTTACAATATGAATGTCTCAATTTTTAGATACAAAAACTAACATAAATTGTATAAAAAAAACAATTATACTAAAGATATATCCAAAGATGGAATACATAATATTTAAAAAGTTCAAACAAATAAAATTAAGATATAATAATATAAAAATAAGATTGATTGGTTGGTAGACATGTAATCTTTGGTGTGAAGCTTTTTAACCAGTTTTATAATTATAGAGCACGGGATTAGCTTTGGCACTTATTAAATAAATTTTGAGCAAATTATATTAACATTTAATTATGAATTTGTTCAGAGCAAAACAGATATTTAACAAGTCTCCTAGATTCTTTAGTTGTTCGTTTTGCAACAATAGCGTAAAATAGATAAATAATAGTTCTGAAAAGACAATTGTTGATGAGCACGTGTTTGGTATCTAGTAGGTACCTATGAGCCCTTTTACGTTCGAACGGAAGCTTTTTTACCTCACTTTTTGTCACGTTCAAGTTCGATGAGCAAGGGAACCTTAAGCTCTTTTAAGGTTCTATTTCTTAATGTTCAAACCTTCAACTGCGTAGAATAAATGTTGTAAGCATAAATTAAACATAATATCGCGAACTTATTTTAGGTTAAATAGTTAAATAAAAAAGGGCAACTTTTAATGTATTTTAACATCATATAGCAAGTGATGACATATTATGTTTGACAGTTCCTATATCTACCTTATCGCACACGCAACATTTTTGAAAGAACAAGATTAAATGTAAATTATGCCGAGTTCCAAGGACACGTGAATGAATGTTTAGGACTTACGTTGATTAGCAAGGTTTACCAGAATCTTTTTTAAATCCATGTGAAACGAATAGAATGATCAGAGAAACGATTTTTTTATAATATATTTATTTCTATCATATACATTCATTGCACTTTACTGGTATTGTAGATTGGATAATCCACTTTCTTTAATTCCCCAGTTTCTATATCTATATACCAATTATAAAAAGAAAATAGGAAATAAAACGCATTTGTTGCATAGTTGATGCATTGAAAATACCAATCCTAATAAGATTTTGTATATATAGATTTTCTATACACTGTATTTGAGGAAAACTTGCAGTAATTTCCTCGGGAATTCGAATTTAAAAGCATCTATACATTTATAACACGCGCGTAGTAAATTCTTGCAAACATCATTTTATAAAATTGCAGTTACTAATTCTAATATAACATTTAAGGTATGCGAGGAGCAGCGTTGTGAAGAGCAGGTGTTCTCCCTGGCCGTCAGCTATCTGGACAGGTTCCTCGCACAGGTCGCAATCTCAAGGAAGCAGCTGCAATTGCTGGCTGTCACAGCATTGCTGGTAGCATCTAAATTCCGACAGTGCCACGCCCTATCCATCGACCTCCTATGCGCATACACAGACAACTCAATTCTGCCACAAGAAGTTCGAGTGAGTAATGTATTGTTCGTAACTAATATCCTCATTATAAAAGCCTTAAAAATCTTTTGTCTTACTCGTAAGTAATGCTTCTACGTGAACAAGATTGTGTTTGTCGATACAACAACTTTATAATAATGATAATTTATTTATTCAAGCAGATTATACCTATAATTTGCTCTACAATACAGCTGCAAAGAAATCTATTCTCAGCGCGACTTCACGATTTCATTAATGTTTTTAAACTAGTAGGTTCAGCCTTCTGTAAAAATCGATATTTGGGTGATAGACACGTTTTCTTTACGACATTTTCCTTTCATAAGAAATTTATTAAGATTAGAAACATAGAACTAAGATTGTAATTTATTGACGTCATGTTTATTACTATTTCATTTATGACAATATAACTCTTTTATTGTGTCATTCAAGCGTTTTTTTAATATTTCTTTGACACACGACGAGACCTATAAAAAGCCAGTAGTGCTACAATCTTTTAGGTCTAGACCTAAAAGATTGTAGCACTACTTTCAAATTTCTGTATTTGTTTTTTTTCTAATAGGCAACTAACAGCCTGACTTTTGGGTCAAATACAGGCTGATCTCCACACGATGTTTATTTCACCGTACAAGTGTTAAACCGAGAGAGAACTATCAATCTTGGATTATTATTCTATTTTTAAAAGGGTTCATAGACAATAACTTTCGTATCATAACCCTCTTACGATAAGGATAAATAAGTAATATAGTTACAAGGTTAAGTATTAAAAACGATAACGATCCCCTTACAAAAGCTCCATAATTAATTGAGGAACTTGTCTGTAACTTTTAATTATTATAATGAGATCGGCATTAACACTTTCGATATAAACTCTGATATAACATTGAGTGTAGTTACCTCACTTTTTTTTTTTTTGAATTTGTAGGAGAAGTAAGTACGCGATGTTTATTAATTTGTGTTTTTCAAAGTAGAATTTATTGTAAGATTACTTCGTTCATTCTATTAAAATAATCTTAGATTGACCCTTTCGATTTATACCAAAGTCTAGCCAAACCTTACTAATATCTTTGCAGATTTTATCCTGGTACAGTTTTGTATAATCAAACAAATGAAAGTAACCCGTAACTATCCTTAACTAGGTGTTAAATTTAATTTCTTATAAAAAATAACGTGTGGCACGGGGAGTCCCCCGCTGTAAAGCTATTGCATAATTTTTTTTTCAACTTATGCAATTATAATTATTTATTTATGCAGTATTTTTTTTCTTTGATATTAATTCAAGTTTTTTCTTTGATAAATTAATTCAATCTACCACTCTACCAGACTCAGACTAACTCGCCTATATAGTCTGTCTCAACTCTAACGCGCACCGGCTGCACCGATCTCGTCAGAGAGATACGCATATGCAGTATACATTCTGTCCCGCTCTAACGCGTAAGGTTGTTTTCGTTACGAAATTTCTGGATTCGGTCTCCACGCTCGAGGCCTGCGATAGAAGCTATGCAATAGCTTAAAATCCTTCAAGTAATTATAGATGTTTAAACGATTTTTGATATTACGACAAAGATATCACGCTATAAGGCACCTTATATCCTGCTAATATTGTTTTGTGGGCACTCGATTAGCTGACTCAAATGACATTGTTTACTTCACCCCTTGGAGGACGCCTTTATATTGCCCGCTTCCTTAGAGTTTCCTGTAATTATTACTTCCGCGACTTTATTGTACGGGGACATTTCTTACATCTTTACTGTAGCGTGTGAAGGCACTTTACAATTAGGCGCTCCTTCCGACGGATATGTAGGAAGTGTTACTTAGACCGCAATGTAATCCGCTTAGAAAAATTTAGATTTCTTGCAACTTATATTATTAAACGGTAAACATACTTTTATTTCAAGTTTTTAAATCTATAAAAAGACCTGTAGTTGCGTAGTTTATTAATTGAACTATTTCAACGCTTTGAAGTTTCCCGCTTAATCGCGGGAAATGGCAGGCGCCATTTTAGACGATTGAAAGATTGGTTTGCGTTCATACATTTGACAGATGACAAAGAATAGATAAAGCTGTAATACCTACCGTAAATACAACACATTTGTTATGTATTGATTTATATTTTTCAATATTTCAATAAGGAATAAAATAGTATGTATATCTAAAAATATAAAGCACTTTATAAAAAAGGAGGTATAATTCTAATAGATGAAACAATTTTTCTATAGTTATCTGTGGTCATTGTGGTGTAACACAAATGATAATTTGAATGTTGTGGCAGGTGTGATTCGAGCAATTAGTTCAATAGCTGTGAGTTTTTGACTTGTCACTCAATTCTCACGCTATTGGGACCCTCAAAAAAATTTACCTACCACAGTAAAGCAACCAGATTTTAACAGTGTTGGTATAGAAGTTGATTAATGTTATTTTAATATAATATTGCTTAGGGTTTTTAAGTATTCAATACCAGAAATTGCCTGAAACTTCGTTCGCGTGTATGTGTTCACACAATAAATGTAAAATTAATAAAATATATAAACTTAACTCATGTAGCAACTTAAAGCTGAGTTGGACCCATTTTTTATTATTTCCCTACAATAATAATTTGGTAACAATTGAATTTAGAGTTATACAAATATATTAAATTTCGTACCGTGAGAACTACTTCAAAGTTGTATATACCGTATGGCACCTCCGCCTACTCGTCCTTGCAATTAATTCGTTTGATGTCATAGATAAGTCGAATGTGCATGATAATGAGGACGCTTTGTGGTGTATTCCCATGTCTTCGCCCACCTTTTGAACAGTTGGTCCCAAATTATAATAAACATGTCGTGGGAACTTGATAATAAGAACATTGCACCTTTTGGAGATACGGGAGCAATAAAAGTAACGCTAACACCTTTGCGGCCTCACGTACTTGACCTTGGTTCTGTAGGCATCTTTCTGTACTCCGATTTTCATCTAGAAATCTACTATTTATGCTTTCTTTCACCGTAGCCTGGTTTAATTGCTAATAACCATTAAATAAAATCAGTGGCGTTAAGTCCTCAGAGTTTTGAATCTGTTTCATGATCATTTTTCAATTAATAGGCAAATAGGTGTCAGACTCCTGTGCCTTACACACGCCGTCGCCTTTTTGGGTCTACGACATGTCTGTTTCCTCACGATGTTTTCCTTTACCGTTCGAACGAATGTTAAATGCGCACATAGAAAGAAAGACCATTAATGCACAGCTGGGGATCAGACTTACGACCTCAGGGACGAGAGTCGCACGCTGAAGCCACTAGGCCATCACTACTCACTAATAACCATTGGTTTAGTTTAAATCTCAGGATTGAAGTGAATCCTTTAAATGCTAGGTGGTTTAAGCATCCTTTGCGGGGTTTTTAAAAGGTTTCGCAGTGATTCTTGGTCAATTACCACCCCTGTATTGAAGAGCTTCCCTCGCGAACATCGCCCGCCAGTGGTTCCCTAGTATCGCCCTTTTCTTTTACTTTTGTTGAATTTGCTACTTTTGCGGTTTCCGTCGTGTCCTTCATATGAATTCCCATTAAGAAAATTAGTGTTCTTTCATCGGTAATTCCTGTCTATGGTTTAAGAATTCTTCTGTTGAATAATTACCCGAATGTATTTTCCTTTAATTTACTGACGCAGATTTTTCTTCTAAATTATTACAATATTATTTGAAACGAAAGAGTGTTGTCACCCACAACACACGAATGTCTTAAGTATATAAAAAATATAGTATAAATGACTTAGTTATTATTATATATACATAAATATATATATTTTTTATTTCAGTCAATTTGTAACATTTGTTTTTTAGTTATCATAACAATAAAATATACAGTATTTACAATTTTCTTAACATACATATAGTAATTAAAAGAAAATTAAAACAAATTTACAAAGTTTAATCCCTGTGGCAGTGTACCATTAACGCTGGCAGCATTTCGCATTTTTTTTATTAGTTATTATTTTTATATTTATATATATTATATTTTGTTTTCATTTAATATAATATTGCTTTTTTAAACTTAATTCACATGCGTCGTAGCGTGATATCTAAAATTCATAAAAATTGTATGTATGGATAAATTAAATTAAATATTCTTTTGTTTCAGCAATGGGAACTAATGTTGGTGCAACGGCTAAACTGGCAGTTATCTATTGCGACAGCGTTTGATTTTGTTGACCCCATTTTGGCCAGGGTACCTTGGGGCCGAACGAATTCTTTGGTCCGAACACACGCCATTACTCTAAGCTCCGTGTGCTATACAGGTAAGAACAATTTAGTATTTGTACTTACTTGGTGATGCGGGTTAATGGCCTTGAATGGTGATAGGGAAATACAATCTATGTAAATAGAACGAAGAATTTGTTCTCTGTGAATTTCATGTAATTGTCAAAAACACCTGGGAATAAAATGTTTATTTTAATGGAAAACTTGCCTTTCCCATTAGGGATAAATTAATATCATCATTAATGGAAAACTATTAACCCGTCCAGCATCGCATTCTTTAATTTCTATGGAATAGGAAAAACACCTTTTTTTATATGGCAACCAAGATTTATAATAATTTACAACAAAAAAACTATTGAAAGAATTTTTTTAAATCGATTTAATATTCGATTTTTGAAAAAATATATATTATTATATTAATGATTATTTGGGTCATTCTTATTAATTTGATAACGTATTAATATATTTCAATAATGTAATATAATAATTGAATATGACTCATAATGTAAGGTAATATATAACTTATAACATCTATGTAAAATTCTACCTTTTAAGACAAATTTCTACGCCATTATGTGAAGAATGTGCGAAATTTAGATTGTACTACCATATTTAATGCATAGTTTTTGTCAATGTACGATTCCTGGTTCATCGGGGTGCTTTAAATAATAGAGGATTTTATTTTTGCTCTATATTAACCACTCGCGTACAACAATAGAATATGAGCGTAATAATGAAATTTTAATCGCTATGTAACGAATGAATGCAATGTAACAGTTGAAGAGAGTGCTTACGTCTGGCTATACTCTCGGGGCGTATTTCCCAAATCGCCACGCTTATAAAACTAAGAAAGCCTGAGTGAGCAAAATGTACAGCCTAATGCCCGCCTTCCACTGCGAGCGGAACGGACCCATTACGGACTCCGCTATACTCGTAGCGATGATTTTCTTACATGTGCTACCAAAGCGGAGACGAGCGCAGCGGAGAGAGCGAGTTGAAAGAGTCACATATGAGGTAAGCGAGTTGACCGAGTTTCCCACGGAAATGAAAATGTATGAAAATCATCGTTACGAGTATAGCGGAGTCCGTAATGGGTCCGATCCGCTCGCAGTGGAAGGCGGGCATAAGTTCGTACAGTCAAAAAGTACCCAAAACCATTTTTGTTGTATAGCTAGCTAGCTAAAGGTGTTTGACACTTTTTTACCAATTATAATGGATGTGCCTCCCTTTGTTAATGTGATTATGGTGCAGTGGTCATGTATGAGTATTTACGGAGGGCGAGAGTGCCAGAGGGTGTATTGGAACGCACATGCCAATGCTGTGATATCGCACACCTTGCCGGCACCCCTCTGCCACTGACCCTTTTATTGTACACATGAAAAAACTTGCAATAATTCTATTCTAAATTTGGACCGCACGCTTCGGGGATAGTTTATATATCTTCAGCGTAATTTTTATTTCTTTCGCAATAAAATTTATCTGGTTATATATCGGCATAATTCGAAAGCAAGAATTTCGGGAACGAGCTTTTAAAGATTTTGTTTCATTTGCTTGTGTTTTGATTTTGCTTTTTTTTAAAGTCATGATTACGAAACTTTACAAATTTGTTTTTTGGTACTTCCTCAGGGTTCTCAAGTATAGATTACTTTCGTGCCTTTCGTGTTTTCGTGCTTTTAAAAGTATTAAAAAAGTCATGTTATGTGTACTGTCCGCACATATTTGTAGTTATATTTCTATTTCGTCAGACTAAGGCATAAGGTGAGATTCAGAGTCGAAACTCAGCGCAACTATTATTATTATTATGTAAATAAACACACTAGTAGCTTAATAAGCTTTGAAGAAAGTATCTAACCTTTTTTTAAAAGAATTCAAAGAAGGTGCACTTTTTTTATTTAATTTTTTTATTAATCTATACATAGTAGAATTCAGATTGAGGCCTCCCTACATTCCGGAAGCCTACTTCATTGCTCTGTATGTTAAAATACATTTGTGACAATAGTCATACTTAGCGCTTAGTCAGATTCTGAATTCTGCCAAATATATTTAAATAAAAGTTTATGCGCGTACCAGTCCGCATTATTCTGTTAACATTTTATCATGTATCCTTGAAATATGAATCATAAAAGATTGAAAAATTTGAAATTAGAATCTCAATTTTTTTTAAATGTTATCACCAAGTTATCAGGTATCCTCTGTAGACCATAATAACGGTAATGCGGCATATTCGAGCATGTTTTATAAAAAGTGAAAAATTTGAAATTAGAATCTCAATTCTTTTAAAATGTAAATACTAAGTTATTAGCTCTTCTCTGTAGACCATAATAACGAAATTGCTGTATTCGAGCATGCGTTATAAAAAGTTTACTCTTAAAATTGAATTTAACATGAGTACATTAGATCCCCAGTGATATTTTGGGGTGTTGTTATCTGATTTATAGGCCATAGACCATATGCCCAATTGAAATTGAATAACATCAATGAAACGGCCGGTCTTTATAAATATGTATGTGTAACAACTTAAAAAGCTCATTACCCTTACCAACGCGATAATCGAAAAACAATAATTTTGTTACCGTGTCTCAAAAATAGAGCAAGCTTTTAGAAAGGTACACAAAAATAAGAACGTAACCCTGAAAGCTCACCCCGTCTGTTTAAAAGCTTTTTCAGATCTTTCGTAGCTACAAATCGACACTTAAAAGAGCGACTTTTGAACTAAAGAAATAATTCCCAAAATTATTGAATGAATTTTAAAGAATTGATGGTTACATAGGAGTATTATCTGTCGTCAGATGTGCCCCTATCGTCCGGGTTCTAAGATAAAACGTAATTTATTGCTTTAAGTTCTTTAGCTTAAATTAAATGCCCAATTGTAATTAAATCTTAAGTGGTGTTTGTTTTAAAGGGTGAAACAATAAGTGAAATTATTAATATATTTTTCTTTTGTCGTACCTGCATGAAAAATGTTTCCAGCAATGGCTGCATTTTTGTATCGGTCAACGGAAGTTTAAGTAATAATTACCGGTATCAAAAGGTGTTAGCAGGTCAATAACATTTCTTAACCCTTAACCCTTGGGAAATACGATATTTTAAATGGCCATTTTGATATCGTATCTGCAAATTAAGTTTTATAAACCCGCTCTTTGTTTATTATTTCCTCGTTGTTCTCATTTGACAGCCATTCTTATTATTACGACCCGTAAGATATTGAAACCAAGCGCGTTAACGTACAGTTAGTTCGATGCGGATTTTATTATTAAAGATCTAATGGAATATGACATTATTTAAAGTACAAACATCAATAATTAATATAATACCTAAAGAAATCTTTATATGCTAAGTGCAGTGCAGTGCTACCAGTCTGAAAGGCGGACTACGCACTAGCGAGCCTTCTGGCAATGTGGGTTTGAGTGTAACTTAACAGCTTTCTGCCCGTTTGGCCCCTGTTTAAAAATAGTTCTCGAATTAAGAATTGTCTAGACGGACAAAATGGTGTTCCTTATCGGATCTTTCTTTCTCTCATATAATGAGATAATAAATGTAATAATAAAGCCTTTTTTATTTCCATATCCTTAAGTTCTATTTCAAATGTTCTTATCAGCGTTGTTTGCATTTAGTTATAGTTAAATGTAAGTAGTAATATGTTAGTCACTTGTGGGTGTGGACCTCTACGGGAAGGCCTCCTGTGAAGAAGGCCCGTCTTTGCCTGCTATTTCTATCAAGTCATCAGCCTACCTTCGTGAGATATTTTAAAATAAATCAGTGGCGCTATAATCTTTTTTCTGGCCTCAGATTTCTGTGTCTGTTTCATGATCATTTCTTCAAGATCATTAAATGATAATCCTTGGGATTGATTTGCTCCATTTCAAACAATTTGTATGACTCAAAACTTAGTGATTAAAAAGAGTTGCAGAAAGTTTCTTGACAGTTCTTCTTGCCCGCTCTACGCCCTTGACTAGCGAACTGGTAGTAAATGTATATTTACAATTAATTCAACAAGCAAGTAAGTGAGCAGCCTATGCCTGAAACACGCCGTCGAATTTTCGGGTGTAAGGCAAGCCAGTTTCCTCACGATGTTTTCCTTCACCGTTCGAACGAATGTTAGATGCAAACATAGCCGTTGATGGACCCTACGACCTCAGGGATTTGAGTCGTACGCTGAAGCCACTAGGCCAACACTCCTTCCTGCATCGTTATTATGGAGGGCGGAGAAAAAGTTTAATATTAAGTGGCTATCATATCAAATTTGTACTAACAAGAGATTTAATATCCAATTTCTTGCGGAGCTTATTGAGGCAAATAATTCAAGTAACCGTGTCACGGTCGCGGTGACTTATGAGTAACAGGGGAGCTCGCCAGCTGAGCAACGACAATACACGAAGACGTCCTACGGCCATTGTTATTCTTAAGTCGGCAAAGGGCTCCCGACAAAACGTCTACACCTGGCAAAGGGTGTCTCGAATCTCGTTGACGATTTGAAAATGTATGTCCTATACAACTCTAGTTATGCATTTAAAATCGTAAAAAATTATAGATATGTGTTAGACAAGGCGCCTGACTCGGGCCACTAATGTTGCTGGATTGTAAACTTCGTAAAGGGAATTGTAATAAAACATCACCAATAAAATCAAATAATTGATGACGTTAGGCGCAGAAGACTGACCTTCTTGCCTAAAATCATGAAATATGTACAGAAATCTGAAGCTAATACTGAGAGTAGTAGGAGGATTTTTTACTTTCTGTAACGTCAATTTGCGTTTAGCCATTTTAAGGGGCTAAATATACCCGACCAGGGAATATCTAAGGCTAGGCTTCTTTGATTGCCAACATACATCTTTGACCTAAGAATATTCTAGGATAGAATCGTCGATAAAAAATTCCTTTCCGAGCGGCTTTTGAGGCGTTGCTTAGAGATGTGGGGTATCTGTGCATGCACCGCATTGACCACATAGAGTAATCTCAGGAATTGTTTGGATTAATAACTGCAGCTGAGTTTCATCATCGGACGTAGAGGCACAATACGAAATTCCACCTCGACGTCCGTCGTTCCACAACTGAGCGTTTTTTAAGGCAGTTTGCGCCACCACTATGTGCAACCAGCTGCCCACTGAAGTATTTCCGAGCCAATTCTTAAAAGTCCGGCAACGTATTCGAACCCTTTGGCATTGAGAGTGTCTATGTAAGACTTAAAATCGGGAGTACAATAAAAATAAAGGAGTTTCATCCGATATGTGAGAACCAATCGGTCGTGTCAACCTATCAGACTATACGTTATAATTAAAATTAGAAACCAATGACATTTAAGACTATGCCCTTTATGTCTAAGGCAAAAACAAATATTGATATAACCCATTCATTGACGCACTGGTGCATTTCAGTGAAGCCTAATAAGGATATGTTTAAATAGAGCCATAGTGTAAGGGAGCCAAGTTTAAAATTATGATTGTATTGAGAATTGAGATCTTGTTGTGTTTATTTATTAACTGTCGAAAGACATTTATTAATAACGAAACACACACAGAAACACACAAAATAATAATAATGATACACAAAAAATATGGAATAAAGGAGTAAAGTACATTTTAAGTGTGTAATGTGTATGTGTTGTGGTTGTAACTGGCCGTGGTTCAGCATAATGCACAGCACAGCGCAGTGTTCCACAGCTCTGGTCATTCTGCCAGAGACCACAACAGTTGGTTTGGTCGATATTCTTTTTATTTATTTCAATTATTTAGACATACATTAAAATAAAAACAAATAACATACATTATAAGGAATGTAATGAAGCCTTATCGCTAACAGGCGATCCAGGCAACCCTAGTACGGAAAATAGAAAAACTAAACTTAATCTAAAAGCTAATCTCACGGTTCATCTTTGACTAAGTTTATCAAGCCAAAATCCAGGTTATCAAAGCCGTTTTCGTATGTTATACTAAACTATTAACCGACATTTAACCTTAGATAATGCCTCCAAATAATTCGTATGCATCCGTTTATCGGCTCGCATATTCCTTTTTAACTTGGCTAGACATGTGGTCCCCTTCTAACCTCTCACCAAGTAGCGTCTAAAAACTTTCAGATCAGTCTACTTATGTGTATCCTGTAGTAGATACAAATTTGCGTTAAACTTACCAGTACGCTTTTTGCGTAGGACTTACTTGGATTAAAGCTATATTAATATTGCATAATAAATCGCGAATCCCGTATGAAGTGATTACGTATCAAGCATTGCATATCCCCTGCAAAAAACATAAATGTCATTAAAACTAGTTCCACACAATTAGATAATGACATTAGCTATTTGCAACCCCTAGGGTGAGACAGGTTTTGAAAACGGAACTTAACGGTCCTCAAAGTCTGTTGGTTTAAGACGGGGGTGTCTTAGAAGTGTGGTCTTTGGGCCACATGTGGAGACCAACTGTCGGCCAACCTGTCGCGCAACGGAACGCCGCGGTCCGCTGACCGGTCGTACCTGATACGATCAATGTTTCGTGTATGTTTGATTTATTCATTAAGCTGTCGCTAACGGTGATCACGTAACATGCACGCTTAAAAACACGTGGAAAAAATTGACAAATTTTACAAACACACACACACTCGCACATACATACACACACACACACACATGAGTTAGGTCGGAGAAAGTTTACTAAAAAACCTTATAAAATTTTGTTAAAGCATCTTTAATGAATTCACTTGCCACATATAAGAGCGAGAGCCGAGAAGCAAAAAAGGTTCGCATTCCAATCTGTTAGAACCTTTTGTGAATATTGTCGCTTACAATTTTAAAGTGACATTTCGTAATATAATACTCGTAGCTATAGTTTAGTTTCTTCGTCTTCCAGTCTTACTGAACCCCTAGATGGGGCAGAGGGCGTCCACAGAGAGTCTCCAAGTCTTTCCGGCTCTCTTTGCTTCATCTGCAACTGTACGACGCCAGGTTTGCCTGGAACGGCCACGCTTCCGCTTTCCTTCGCTTCCGCTTCCTTTCAATCAAGCGCCTGCTTGAGTATATGATTGGGATCCCTTCGGAGTGTATGGCCTATCCATTTACGTTGCTTGATATGTTGGCTATTCAGGGTTCTTCCAGCCTAGAACAGATCATAATTATACTGATGTTGATATAAAAGTACTCTACGTGTCTTGACTTTTTAACCCAGAAGTGAGTTTGAATCACAACTGAAGATTTTCTGTCTAAATGCGCATCTTAAACTTGCTATACGGTGAAGGACATCGTGAGGAAACTGTTGCCTTAGACACAACAAAATCGACGGCGTAATTTTAGACACTGAAGGCTGATCTTGTCTTCTTCTCTTGATCTTGGCTGATTTCTGTAACTGTTTCGAAAACAAATATTTACGAAACAGTTACAGAAATCTGACGTCCAGAACTAATAGGTTGTGCTTATTGTGATTATGGTCTCTTCCAAAGAATCTAATATATATAAAATTCTCGTGTCACAATGTTCGTTCCCATACTACTCGGAATTTTTTTATGCATATTCAGTAAGTCTGATAATCGGCTGCTATCTATATTTCAAACCCCAAAGTGATATTTTTTGGATAATTTTTTTTTATTATGTGGCATTAAAAAAAAACCTAAATTTTCACCCCTCTAAGTTCAACCTCTATTTTTTATTATAGTAGATAGTTATTATTATTGAACTAAAAATTTTTTTCTAGAAATAATATATAATATGTACATGGCAAAACAACGTTTGCCGGGTCAGCTAGTTATAGTATATATCTACTCGGTTCCAGGGATACTATGTTTTGTATATTTTATCATTTAATGTCTGAACTTCCATAAAAGGAAAACAAATCGTTACGAGCAGTTCTCGAAATCAGTAAAACTGTTAATGACCTAGGTTACGTTGACATTTAGAAGACGGCGTGTTTTCATGTTTTTTCTTTATCGTAAGGGTGTAGGTGGGCAGTGACCCTACGCTACTTAAGGTAGCGGAAGGGTCTTGCCAGGTGTTGCTACATCTGTCGTCTTACCCTACACCCAGTTATACTTAAATTGCCTCAAGTTATGCTCCATCGCCCCGTCAACCAAGTTCACTGACTGTTAAGAATGACATATTTCTTGTACAAACTGGACTAATACGATAGTGTCAAACATAAACTCAAAACAAAATGATTGCGCAGATTATATTATATATTCGCTAATGTGAAGGCATTAAAAGGCTGGCAACTCACTCGCGAGCCTTCTGGCAATGTCAGTGGCGATGGACGGCGAATATTAAGATTCCTCATGGCCGTTTTTATTGTTACTAGTAGTAATACTACTACAACAGAAATCAACTTTTTACTAAAAATATTTATTACATATTAAATTATGAAAAATATGCATATTAATCGCTTTAAATATATTCATAAGTTGCGAAATTTCTTACATGGATTTTTCTGTATAAAATCACCAATAATGCAATTCGTCCGCAAGTTTTTTGCCCTAGCGAAATCGCAGCTGTGAACTTGACTGGTAAGATGTAAATTACTATTATACTCCGTTCATTGTAAGCAATTCAAAGATGCAGACGGGGATTGCACAAGCAGCTGTTCACATTTCCTTATTCTTAGACAACAATAGTATTGTGCGAAATGTAACGTGATTTGGGGATATTTAGGATTTCGACGACCTTTTTTAAATCTGCGTAAAATCGTATAGTAAAACTGTGTCTTGTAATTTATACATATTGAATGACCTCTGGCGTTCCGTCTGTCAGAATTAGATATTAAATCGTGTGGATAAGAAAACCTAGCCCGGATTCAAAGTCTTAACGAAATGTGACTCCTGTGTGTAAAAACCCTGTCATAATAACAATAACCTTTCTTATTTAATAAAGGATGGGAACTAGATATTTGTAATATTGATTAAAGTACGCACACATATATAATGCTATATCTACCGTATATGTTACAGTCTATTCTAAAATATATGACAACTAGCGGACCCCACAGACGTCCTGCATGATATTATGCCTGCCTATATCCTATTCAAGCGATTAGGATATTAAACAAAGTATGCAAGTACCGACTGCAGCGCCATCTGCCGGGCTGATTTGTGAATCTAAACCATCCAGGGCCCCACCTAAACGCATACAAAATCATTCAAATCGGTCCAGCCGTTTAAGAGGAGTTCAGTGACACACACGTACAGTAGAATTATATATATGTAAGCTGTAATGTAATCCTATCTTGTAAGTTCGATCAAACTGCACACGGTGTGCAAATTTGATTGAAATCGGTTAAGTAGTTTACGAGTCCATAGCGGACAAACAACGTGACGCGTAATTTATGTATATTATGATTATGGTAAACATAAATCTTAATAAAAATAAAAAATATTCTACAAAAGTGTAATTTATTTCCTTATTAAGTTTACTTTTTTATTTTGCAATAAAATAAAAAAGCTTTTTTATTTTTTTATAAGCTGATTTTATTGTAACTTTATGTTTCGTAATTAAAATCATGGAATGTATTATATACTAAAGTAATGTTGTCTTGATTGCTTTATTGTAAACAAACGAGAAGCAAGGCCATTGAGATGCAAGGTGTATATGCCACCTGTCCACGGCAGGTAATTGTCTCAACAGATGCGTTTACCTGCGATCTGCGTCCGCGCACCTACGCGTATTCTTTTAATGTTACATTATAAATCTCGTAAACACCTTTCGCTCATAGCAATTTACTATTATAATATATATTTAAGTTCCTAAAAATGCACAATATATTTTTTGACTGTAGATATGATATTTCTAACAAAGCCTTATTAACCAGTTTTAAGTATTTGAAGAAGCAAAGATATGCAAATGTGAATTCCTTAGTTGATTTAAATTAAATTTATAACTAACAGTTTTTTCCTTTGTCCACAGAAACCGAGCTACTTTTAGTGCCACCGTCCCTAATAGCAGTGGCCTGCATAACGGCAGCAGCTCGTGGTCTACGTGTGCGCATGTCGGTAAACGACCTATGCTATCTCACAAGATCTCCACCCGTTTCCACGGAACTCGTAGCTCGCCACGTGGAAACAGTCCTCGCCAGAGAGACTCAGGCGCAAGAACCCCGCACCAGATACGCACAACCAACGAAACAGGCATCGTCAGATCAAACACAACTACCCAATACACCAACAGATGTTCAGGACGTTCGTTTTTAATATATTTAGGCCCTTATCGTCAAAGCATTTGACTTAGCGTCGACTCTTGAATTCATATCAATTTGTTAATATAAAATTCGATACATTCCAAATTATACATAATTGTTTGGATAGCTAAGTTCAAATGGTACACACGTGATCTAATATTTTGTAAATATTAAGGATCTCAATAATTTCAATATAAATGGCGTATTGAAATCAATTTTTTTACGAAGGCTTACCCATATACAATAGCAATTCGAATTTACAAAAAAATCAGTGTTATTTTTTTCCCGCGCACCTGGGTCCACAGAGTAAAAAAAAGTCCGCAGTAAAAACTTTTTTTCAATAACGGGCCCTAAACGTCCATTGATCTCAAATTGTGTAAATTATACTATTTATTAATTAAAGTTAAGATTAGTGTACGAAACAATATTCAATATATAAAATTATGATCTCCGAATAATCCAAAAATATACAGACTCGTCATGCATTTTTAGCTAAATATTCTAGCGTAAGCTTTTTAGCCGATACCAGAAGTTGTGTTATTTCACAATTTTTGTCATTTAGTTAAATAAGATCTCAGCAACAATATTGCTACCAAAACATGTTTAGTTTGTAGGCACTGACTTCGGTTAAAATTGTTATACTATTTATTAGGTCGATGTTAAGTTTTAGTAAATTCTAGTCAATGTTTCTCACATTCCTGTTAATCGACCAAACCTATATGTAGATAAATGTTAGATTTAACACTTAGATTTATGGTGTATCGTTAAGTCACACAAATATTTTTAATTAAAAAAATATGGGAGTAATTCTCAAAGATAATAAACACACATTTTTCTATGATCATTGGATTTATTTATGTGTCTATAGCTCCCACAGTATATAAGATTTTTAATAAGTTAATTGTCAGAATTACACGATTGTAATGTTATTAAAATTATAATACTCGGAAAGAATAATGTCCATACTTTGTAGATGCGTTTTATACTTCTAAAATCAACTTATGTCTTTATATTGTTATTAGTACAGAGTGGTCACCGTTTAGTGTTTTTTTTTTTGTTTGTACCACAGATGATATTTGTGCTGAGACTCGTTTATTGTTTAATGGTTTTGCCATATCAAATGTAAAATCCTTTTACTGTATATACACCTAAAGTAAATTGCTTTCTTGTGATTTTTGTAAAAAATATTTAAGCGAGTCTGTCCAAGTATAAAAAAATAAAAAAAGTGTAAATGTATTGCAGAAAGGTTGTTAATAGTTTAAGTGTGATCGTCAAGCTATTTATAAGAAATAAATAAATTATAATAAAATATAAGACTTTTTTTCGTCTTGAATGAACTGACAAATATTTTTTTTAACCAATTAGAATTATTAGTAATGTCAATTCTGGCAACACAAATGAAAGTTGGTTTACCACAGGGTATAAATGTATTTACAAATAATTGCCTTACCACAAAAGTTGTAACTGATTATTATTTTCAATTCAAACAATGACTCGGCAATGGTCACAGAATAATTATAATGAATTCTAATATTCTTACTCCGCCCGGGTCAATAATCGCAGTACATTGTAGAAAGCTTCTAACTATTCAACAACTTGCAGAAAGTAATGCATTGCGTCATAGTCATTACTAAAACTTTAAGAAAAAAGTTCAAGATGAAGAAGATATTGAAGCATTTTAGTTTGTTGTCGTCACACTTATGTTGGATAGTTAAAATAACAACCAGAGAGCTGAGTCTGGAAATGAAGGAATATATAGATACTACTTGTTTCGTAATAAATTATTAATGAATGTATCGCTTATATATATTTGTGCCAAAACTTATACAATTTTTTAAAACAGACCGAAGAGATCTGACCTCTACAGCTTTTCAAATACAATTATATACATACATAAAAATTTCTGAACATCTATAAATATATGATAGCCAAGTGACACTTTCTTATTTCTAACAAGACAAAAGTTATCAAATATTTTCCAGCAGAACAGTTTTTATTGGAAAATTCAATTCGTTTTTACTATTTAACTTTACTTTATATTCGCGTAAACATTCCCTGAACTTCTAAAAATATTTAAAGATCATAGATAGCCAAATCGGTCCAACCATTCTCGAGTTCTAGCGAGACAAACGAACACAACATATAACGAACTGAACTACATGATGTTTTTTTATTAAATATTGCTAATAGTTTAAAAAAAAAAAAGAAAACTGAAAAGTTTAAGGGTTATTTAGGAAAAAGACGCTGACTACGTATCTTGGCAAAAGCTCCAAGCAACCAGTGTTAATGTTGGTAAGCGACCTCTGTAGTTCAATATTCGAACAACTTCAAATTATCACAAATCGTGGTACAAATAGGACCTATTTTCTGGATGCTAGTTTAAGGCAAACGCGAAAGATGGCGCTGCTAACAAAAACCATAAGTTATATATAAAGTTAGAGATATAATATATATAATTTATTATTTTTCTCATTTCTACGTTAAACATATTGATCCCTTTTCGTAATTTTAATTTGTTCATAATAATTAATAGTATAACTTTTAAGATTTTTGCGGATAGAAAAGTATTTACTTATTAAAATAATAATAGACATAAATGATCATTTTATATAGTATTTTTAAATATAGTTTATTATAACTTCATAATCGTTTTCTAGGATAAGCCGTATTGAAAAACCTGCCCCAAGGACAGTAGTTGTTAGTACCCATGACTTCTTGGGTATTAACATCACCAACAACTTACATAGTGGAAAAATTTTATGTCAGCTTTTGATATTAAGTTTACAGTTTGATTCGCGATAATTAAGGGCTTGAAGGAGTTTACGTCCCTTTGAGAGGAAACGAGAAATGAAAAGGACAGAGCAATATTCAAATCTGATTTATTGTTATAAAACAACCTCTTAAATATTACTTACACCTATTCACATATGACATAATACTACTCTCGTGAGCTGTTGGTGCATTTTCAGCTATTAAATTGGAAAAACCGTGAGCCGTGTCAGCAGTTGGTCAATGTTCAATTGAATGTGTAATTGCACTTTTGTAGTATAATTAATATATTAATATAGTTTTTAAAACGTCAAGCGGGAATTGTTCTAGATTATTGCTAAATAAATTCTGTCATACGCTGTTTTTTATATTAAGTATGTTTTGTATGTTCCAAGAAAAATATATTATTACGTTTTTGTAAGGAATATTTTGTTCGTCAATTGTATATAAATATTATTTTATAAACAAATCACCCGACGAAGGTTGCTTTGCCCTATAAAGATTATATTATTTACATTATTATTATTATTATAGTATATTTAAAATAGAATTTGGTGATAGTAAGGTAATAATTAAGGATTATTCATATATATTTTCCCCTTAGACGTACATACATAAATTTTGTAAAATTCATTTCGAATGAGGTTACAGTGAAGAGAATTTTAATTAGCTTAATACAAAATTATTGAAAACTATGATACGCTTGGAGTAAATAGGAGGGGTTTCGGTACATCGAAAAAGCTTGGGGCGTCGGAGACAAACATACCGTCTCCGGGGAGTCGCTCATTACTTGTTCAAACATGCCGTCGGCGGCCACTTTGAGATCCTTTGCCTTGGTCCGTACCCTTAGATAGGTTAACTTCAACCATTGAAAATCGTTTCTGTAAATAGTTCGTTTATACAGTGCGGTTAACTTATACCTATGTTCAGCTAATTAGGAAGCTTTATTGATTTGCGCTGTTTCTCTCCTGTCTCAATGTTTCCAATCAATTGGGTAGAAAATTCAGCATATATAATCTTTTTATAAAGTGCTATAGCAGCAATGGATTTTCTATGTGCGCATTTTACATTCTCTTGACGAAAGAAAACATCGTTAGGAAACCGGCTTGCCTTAGACTGGAGGCTGATCACCTACTTGCCTATTAGATAGAGAAATGATCATGAAACAGATATAGAAATCTGAGGTCCAGACCTAATAAGGTTGTGGCGCTATTGATATGTTTATTATTTATTTATTTTAAATAACATTAAATGACCAAGTACTCAAGCCGGAAAGCTCATTACTATCTAAGATATTGCGTTAACTGACGTTTGAGTTGTCTAATTGTGTGGAATACAGAAACGCAAAGTAAGTTAATTCTGAACCATTTTTGACACTCGGAAGTGCGACTTAGGGGTGTCTTGTTTCTCAATCTTACGATATTAGCTTTTTATATATCTCAGACAGATAGAGCAGTATTGGTCTAGTAGCTCCAGCGTGCGACTCCCAGAGGTCGTACGTTCGATCGCCGGCTTTGCACCAATGGACTTTCTATGTGCGCATTTAACATTCGCTCTAACGGTGAAGGAAAACATGGAAAACAGGCGTGGCTGGTGGCTGATCAGCTACTTGCCTATTAGATTAACAAATGATCATGAAACAGAAACAGAAATCGAAGGCCCAGACTTAAAAAGGTTGCAGCGCTACTGATTTTTATATATCTCTTTCTCATCCTTAACATACGATGCCATCATCGTCCAATTCCTAAAAGGCAACAGGCTCAAGTTTTCGGAACATGTGCACCGAATGGCGGATGACAGAACCCCAAGGTCCTTATTGAACTCATAACCTGGTGGCAAGAGAAAACCCGGTAGACCGAGGCTGCGTAGGTAGGATGAAGACATATAGATGTAGAGGACCTCGAAACAATAGGGGTTCGAAGTTGAAACCAAGAAGCACGAAATATATTGCGGTGGTGAAATACTTGAGGATGCCTACAAGTGCATTATTGATGATGAATGATGATGATAAAACTTACAATATCCCCCAATATACAGATTCAAAGTAAAAGAAAGTAGGGAATTAGTCAACTTTGGTCTACACATCAAAATATTGCCCACCCTTCATCAATTTGGCTTAAGTTGGCGGCAAATTAAGTTGCTAATTAAAAGCCAGTTTTGTATCGCGTAGCCCGGACATACAACGACCAATATTTAAGCCTTGACTTGTTTAAGCTATCGCGGAATATACTTAATATGTATTTA